CGCTCGCTGACCCGCCAGCTCAGCGACGACGAGGAGTCGGTGGCGGAGCGGCGCACCAGCATCCTGGCCGAGGAGGCGGCGCCCGCGGCCAAGAGCTGGGGCATGGAGAGCAGCGCGCTGCTGCGCCTGGCGGTGCCCATGGCCCTCACCAACCTCTGCGGCTACTGCATCGCACAGGTCACGGTCATCTTTGTGGGCAGGTGCGGGGCCAAGCACAGCATTCAAACATACAAGTGGAGTGGGGGCAGATGAGCGCAAACGCGCGGTTGGCCGCAACGTGGACGCCTGGCCAGCGGGCCCCCACCCCCACCCCGCCCGTGCGGCCCCGCAGGCTGGGCGCCGTGGAGCTGAGCGCCGCCATCCTGGCCACCTCGCTGTTCAACGTCACCGGCCTGTCGGTGCTCACCGGCTTCAGCGCCGCCATGGAGACGCTGGCGGGGCAGGCGTACGGCGCCAAGAGCTACCGGGCGGTGGGGGTGGTGCTGCAGCGGGCGCTGATCATCGTCACGCTGCTCACCGCCCTGCTGGCCACGGTGTGGTCCAAGGCCGAGTCCCTGCTGCTGCTGGCGGGGCAGGACGAGGAGATTGCGGCCATGGCGGCGCACTACATCCTGCGCATGATCCCCGCCCTGTACTGCGTGGGCCTGTCCGAGGCGTTCAAGCGGTACCTCATGGCCCAGCGCTGCGTGCGCCCCGTGGCCGCCGTCACCATCCTGGCCCTGCTGGTGGCCCCCTTCTTCAACTGGCTGTTTGTCTTCCGACTGGGCCTGGGCTTTGACGGCGCCGCGTACGCCGTGGACGCGGTGCAGGCCTTCATGGCCGCCTGCCTGGGCGGCTTCATCGTCATGCGCGACTACCGCCGCGCGGGCACCCCCACCGCCACCTGGTGCGGCTGGAGCGCCGACGCCTTCCGGCGCTGGCCGCAGTACTTCAAGTTTGCGGTGCCCTCGGTTGTCATGGTGAGGGTGGGGGGTGGGGGAGGTGGGGGGGGGGGGGGCCTTGTGGGGGGGTCCCTTGCTTGTCAACCGTGGCTGGGTGGCCCATGCCTGCGCGCCTGGATGGGCCCCTGCTTGCCCTGCTGTGGATTGTGCATGCGCTCGCGCCTTGACGCCCTGGCCCCCTGGCCTTTTTGCGCCCCCAGGTTTGCGTGGAATGGTGGACCTTTGAATGTTTGATCCTCATGGCCGGCTGGCTGCCAGACCCCCAGGTCACCCTGGCTGCCGCCGGCATCGGCATCAACACGGTGGGTGCAGTGATTGGGGGGTGTTAGCCGGCGCCGTGATGCTGTCAATACCGGCCCACCACCACCAACACACGCTCAAGGCCATGCCCTCTCTCCGAGCCCAGCACACAGCCATCCCCATCCCGCCCTGACCCTGCCCCCTCGCTCCTCCCCCCCCACCACCACCACTACCGCCTGCAGACCGGCATGGTGTTCATGCTGTACAGCGGCCTGTCCCAGGCGCTGAGCATCCGCGTCAGCAACTCGCTGGGGGCGGGGGCACCCAAGGTGGCGCGCCGCGCCACCTGGACCGCCGAGTGCCTCAACCTCATCCTGTCCACCGTGGTGGCCGTTGCGCTGTGGCTGGGCTCCCACCAGTGGCCCCGCCTCTTCACCAACATCCCCTCCGTCGTGGCCGCCACCGCCACCCTCATGCCCATCTTTGCGCTGACGCTGCCGGGGGACGGCACCAACTGCACCCTGCAAGGCCTGCTGCGCGGCGCCGGCGCGCAGAAGCTGGGCGCAAGTGGGTGGCGCCGCGCCGCCGCCGCGCGCCCGGCTCTGGGGGCGCCCGCTGCCGCGTTTGGGCCAGCCAAGCCAGGGGGTGCACAGTTATCCCGCTGAGATGTGCCTTCCGGTAGCAGCTGCCTGCCTGCCTTCCATCGCTCGCCTCACCCGCTGCACATTGCTGCGCCCCCCCCCACCACCACCACACACACGCAGTCTCCAACATCTCCTCCTTCTGGTGCTTTGGCATCCCGCTGGCCTACTACCTCGCCTTCCCCAAAGGCCTGGGCATCCAGGGCCTGTGGTGGGGCCTGTTTGCCGTCAACACACTGGTGAGCGGCGCCCTCCCGCCTCCCTGCCTCCCTGCCTTGCATCGCTCTCCCCCTGCGCCTCTCCTGGCACCCGCTGGCCATTCCGGATGCTGCCGCTGCCCACGCGCTCTCCTTGTTGCCGCCAGCTCAGCACCTGGCCTGCCGCGTTCCGCCACGCGTCCTGCAGGTGGGCTCCGTGATGCTCACCATCGCGCTCACCTTCAACTTTGAGCGGGCCGCGGAGAAGGCGGTGGCACGGTTTGCGGTGGCCACATCAGAGGTGCAACAGTCGCTGCTAGAGGAGGCGGATGCGCCTGCCAATGGCCCCTGAGGGACGAGTTCGTAGTCTTGCGACGAACCGATGGATGGGCGACGCGGCTGCCTGGCGCGCCCAGTGGTGGCTTCTGATTTTTTTTTGATGAACCGACGAATGGCCCCATCTCCATGCATGCCTGATCTCACCCGCCACCAAGCGCCCCCTTGCTGTCTGTTATTCTGCTTTCTTCCCATATCTGTACGGGCAAACTCCGCCATGCAAAATCTGCTACAATGCTGGCACCAGGGCAACACCCAGGGAGGGAGGGAGGGAGCACACAGAACAAACAATCCAAAAACAATTCAGGGAAAGCCGCTCAAATGCGATCGGAGCGTGAGGCAGTGCAAAAGGCTGGCAATTGAATTCAACAAATGCTGGGCAGCAAACAATCCCTGCCACAAATAATTCCATGAAGTATTTTCCTGGACCTGCTCCTTTTTGGAGCAAGCAGGAAGCGCCACCGAGCACTCCAGAGCCAGAACCAGAGCCAGCACCAGAGCCAGCGCCAATCCAAGGAGCGACGCGTGTGCCCTCACACCGCCGCTGCCGCCGTGGCGAGCGCCTGCGTGCGATACGCCTCCACCTCTGCCCTCTTGCCGGCCACCTGCGCCTGCAGGGCCGCGTCGCGCTGCTGGTGCGCGCCCAGGTTCTGCTGCGCCCATGCCAGGCTGGCCTGGACCTGCAGGCATGGGGCAGGACCAGGGTCGTCTGTGGCTAGGACATGGGCACGGCAGCAATTTCGCCTCGTCGGCAGCCCAGCAGCGCGGCAGCCGCCACAGCAGAGCACCAGCGAGGGGAGGGCCACGCCAGGGCCTCCCCTGGTCGGCCTGCCGCCCACCTGGCTCAGCAGGACCTTGACCTGCTCGATGGAGCGCCGCACCGCGGCCAGCTGGATGGCGTCTGACACCACGCCGCCCATCAGGATGTTGGCAAACATGCCGGCCCGCGCGCTGCGGCGGGTCGATGGAGCAGCGGCAGCGGCCGCAGCGACACGGCAAGCCTTAGGTGCCACCCCCGGACGCAACCAAGGGGCGGGCCTGGTCCCAAGGCCACACACAAAGCTGCCCGTCCCGAACCGAGCCAGCCAGGCTGGCGGCGCACCTGCGGAGGATGCCTGGGTCGACGCGGGGCATGCCTGCACCCAGCACGGCGCTGGCCTGCAGCCAGGGCCAGCACACGCCCCTGCTCACACACCAGCAAAGCAGCATGGGGGAGGTGCCGCCCAGCCCGACCAGCAGAGCAGAGCAGAGGGCGGCGCACCTCTTCTGTGACTCGAGCCGCCTGGGCCACCCCTTCATTGGCCCGCCGGAACACCGCCATCTCTGCCAGGTTCTGCACACACGGGCGGAAGGGCGAATGTAGTGATGGTTTGGACGGATGCAGATGCTGATCAACAGGCTCTTTCAGGGCACCCACCACCACCCAGCGACGCCAGCAGTGGCAGGGCAGAGCAGGGCCACCACCCGCGCCGCCGCTCACCCCCAGCTGCCGCCCCGGCTGGTTGCGGGCGCGCACGCCGGTGCGGGCCTGGAAGGCCATGCCCCGCCCCATGTTGACAGCCCCCAGCATCTGGGTGCGTCCCATGGCCTGCGGCAGCAGCATGCGCCGTGGCAGAAAAGGGGCTCAGCTCCAGGGAAGAAAGGGGCTCGGTCGTGGAAGGGTTGCGCGGCGGCAGGCTGAACAGGGCCGGCACAAGCGGGGCCTCCCAAGAAGGAGGGCGAGCAGCGTGCATGCCGGGTGCAGGCAGGGAAGCCGCCGGCGGCGCCGTCCCGGGGCTTGCCTGCAACGCCTCCTGCAGGCTTCGGGCGGCGCTCTGCAGCAGCTGCACGCCGCGGCCGAAGCTGGCGGCGTGCCGCCCAGCCTGCAGGCAAACAAGGCGGAGGCGGTGCTGTTGGGGTACACAGCGCTGCTCCCGGCGCATCACCACACCCCTGCCGCTGGCCCCCTCCTCGTCTGCCTCGGAACCCCCCACCCACCGATGCCTCTGTCGGTGCCCACGCCAGCGCTCACCTCTGCCGCCTGCCCCTCCAGCACCCGCATGCTGTCCCCCAGCACATTCAGCCGCGGCGAGGCGCGCCAGGCTGGCGCCGCAAACATGCGCTCCACCAGCACCTCCAGCTCCCGCCTCGCTGCCGCCAGCTCAGCATCCTGCACACGTGGCAGGCAACATGCTGCTATGATGTGGTGCTTGTGCTTAACCTGCTGGTCTAACAGCAGGTGATGGGAGGACCTGGTTGGAGGGCAGGGGGGCAAAGATAACCCCAGCGAGAGGCACCTCAGAGTGAGGCACTGGCCAGCCCACCTTGCCCTGCCACGCCGCCAGCTGCGCCTGCGCCTCCTGCGCCTGCGCCGCCACCGTCGCCGCCCGCTGCTCCTGCTGCTGCAGCTGCTGCGTCAGCCTGGCCACCTGAGCCTCCGCCTCGGCTGCAGGAGCAGGCAGGCAGGCAGGCAGAGGCGGTGGGAAGTGGAGGGGGCCAAGGCGGCGCCCTCGCCTGGCCAGCGATGCAACAGGAGCATACGCTGTGGCCTCGCACTGCTGCGGCAGCAGCTGGCCCAACCTTGCTTGCGCTCCACGCCGCCCTTGCCGAAGCACAGGCAGCCGCCGCCCCCGCCCGCATACTTGGCCACCTGTCAGAGCAGCGGGGCAGAGGCGGCGTGCACAGGCCACGAGGCATGAAGTGGTGGGGGCACAAGGCGGCGGCTGATGCCACGTCGCCACAACAACTGAAAACAGGCTGACCGGCCCCGCCAAGTACCCCTCCTCCTGCACCAAACCTCACCAGCTTCTCCTCTTTCAGCAGCGCAGCGCGGGTGGTGGGCACCGCCCCCTGCGCCGCCAGCTGCTGCTGCTGCATGCTGGCGGCGTACTGCTGGGCAGCCGCCACCTTGGAGGAGGTCTGCGGAGCGGCGACAGCGGCCGGGAGCGATTGGCGCGGGCCACGGCAGCAGGCCGCGGGATGCAGGTCCCGGGGTGCAGCCAAGGCTGCCGTGTGTAGGTGGGCGTACGGCCTACGGCTGGCGGGTACCGCCAGGCGGCTGCTGCTGGGCTCACCTGCAGCGCCTGCAGCTCTGAGATGCTCTGCTTCAGCTGGTTGTATCGCTGCAAGTCTGCAGGCTGGAAGCAGGCTCGGGGGTCCGGCTCGGCGGCACCAGCAGCAGCGCCCGCAGCCGCATAGGCGGCAACGGGTGGTGCAGGGGCAGGGGGCTCCGGTGGCGGAGTAGGGGTCAGCGGTGGTGGTGCCCCCCTCGCCGCTGCTGCTGCTTCCACAGGCGGTGCTGGCTCGGGTGGCGCCGCCTCGGGTGGCGCCACGCCCAGGGCCGTCAGGCCGGATCGCACCTTGCGAGCCTGCGCCAGGGCAGTTGGGCCACGGCTCAGCTGCAGCACATGTGCGCACACGCATGCACACAGCGCCGCGATGTGCCAGTGCACTCATGCCGCTCCTTGGCGGGGTGGCAGCGAGGTGGAGGCGCCCCCTGCTGGCACCCCCGACTGGGCGACCTGGAGCGGCGCCAGCCCCAGGTACTCTGTCAGGTCGGTGTCGCTCAGGGTGTTCAGATCTGCGCCAGCCACAGCGTTGCGCCGAAACTCATCCGCCACAGAGTCGGGCAGGTGCAGGCTTCGCAGCCACGTGACCACCTGCAGGCGGCGGCGTGATTCAAGGGTTCCGCGGAACAGGCGGTCGCCCAAGCGGGCGGTGGCGGCGCGGCGGTGATGGCGGCACAGGGCATGCACGCAGCGGCTCCCGCCCATCGGCCGTCCCACCGGGCAAACGCAACGCGATCACCTGCTGGGGAGTCCAGGCCTCCACCGGGCCTAGTGGCGTGGTAGCCTCCTCCGTCATCGACGGCGGCGCGGTGCGCCTGTTGGCCAACAGGCGTAGCGCCGAGAGGAGGTGATTTAGGAGCGTCGTACAGGCCACGACAACCCCGATTAACTGGCGAGCAGGCAGCTTCCTCTTTAACCAGCTGGCAGCACCGCCAGTCACACATGGAGGGGGAAGTGGACGCATTTGGGCTTGCAGCTACCCTTGCTGCTCAGTTTCATCTGTGGCTTACGTTACACACACACACTGCAGGATATATACTCATGGGAAGGCAACCCTTGCTGCTCAGTTTCATCTGTGGCTTACGTTACACACACACACTGCAGGATATATACTCATGGGAAGGCAACTGGCAATTGAAATACAATGCCTTAAGTGCAGCGGTAGGGGATAAACAGGCATCAGCCCACCCCATGCAGGTTTGCCAGCGCCGCCCAGAGCAGCGCCAGGCTGTACAGCGCCAGCAGCTGGGCCGCCAAAGAGCTGTGCACGGTGGTGGGCACGGCTGCCAGCCGCAGAGCTAGCCTGCGCTGCAGCGCCTCGGTGTGCTGCCACCAGCCACGACGGGGAGGGCGGCCAGGCGGTGGGTCAGGCAGCGCCGCTGAGTCGTACAGCCGCGCCTCCTGCTGCGCCAGGAGGAGGATCAGGCCGGCAAAGCCAATCACCAGCTGCAGGAAGGCAAAGAGAGTGCCGCACATGGCGAGGTCGCCATCGGGGCGCCGCAGCGGCTGTGCCCGCCGGCCTTGCGGCACCTCTGGCGTCTGCCCCACCACCACCAGCGCAAGCTCCTGCACCATTGCCGCCACAGCGGCGCAGGCAAGGTAGGCGCCGCGGATGGCGCCGGCCGCCTGCCGCCGCTGCATGGCGAGTGCGCACACGCCTCGGTTGCGGAGCAGCGTGGAGGCCAGCACCACGGACTGCGCCGGTATGTGCAGCAGCAGGGGGGTGGGCCTGGCCATGCCGAAGAAGAAGAGAGGGAAGGCCATGCTGCTGAAAGCCAGCAGGGCTGCCGCTGCTCCAGCCTGCAGCCACAACGGCGCCACCCCCGGCTCCAGCAGCGGCGCCAGGTTGGCAACCGTCATGGAGCCATAACCGCGGTGGCATGCCGCCGGCAGCAGCATCAGCCACAGCCACGCCGCCGTGCTGAGGCTGCGCCAGGCGGCGTAGCTGGCGGGCCGTCGCCACCGCCAGGCAATGTGGGCCAGGAAGAGGCACTGGATGGCGGCGAAGAAACCCAGGTCGGAGGGCGGCACGGCGTGCCAGAAGCGCGCCAGAAAGCAGGCCGTCGCCACCTGCAACAGCGGGACACAACAAGGAGTGAGCTGCCGGCACCTTGGACATAAACTCCAAGCCTGCCTACTCTCACCACTCCCAGCCAATCGACCAGCTGGTCATGGCCTGTCATCTTCCTTCTGTTGAAAAGCTGGGTCAGGCCTGCCATGGCACACACAGGTGAAACCAGAGCCAGCGCCAATGGCAAACAGCCGCCACTTTGAAGCAGGACGAACTTCCTGACACGGCAGCTTAGTTCGTTTATTTTTATTAAAAAATTGAGCGAATCAGGATGGAAACCAGCGTGAGAACAGAATGAAAATGCAGTGCAATGCATGATGGACAGACAACAACGGAACCAGCTACAGACGGTGCTCGAGTGCGGCATCCTGCCTCTCATTCATGTCACGACTCTGCCTCGCAGATCATGTTTAGCAGGTAGAGGTTGAGCTCGCGGTACACCACGGCTGCAGGCAAGCAATAGCATGGGTGAGGGAGGAAGCGGGGTGGGGAGGGCAGCGGTCACCCGGCTTATTGGTGCGCCTTCCTTTATGCCAGCCCGCGGCCACCCACCCCCTGGGCTCAACAGGCTCACCCTGGTAGTGCCGGGGGTCCCACATGGGCTTGTTAAGCATCTTGACAAGCGGACGGGTGATGGCATAGGCATCCAGCACACCCCAGCCCTCTGCTGCCGTGTGCTTGAGCGCAAGCGCGTCGTGGTCCCTGCATCGGCGGTAGCAGGGCAGGGACAGCGCGCAGGCGTCGCACGACGGGACCAGATGTTGCAAGCTGCAGAATGCCTGCTTCGCTGCATGGCATCCGCATCTGCGGCGCTGAGATATGCAGCGGGCGGCCACCTGGTGGGCGCCCTTGGGCCGCGGGCGGCGGTGGTGGTGCGCCAGATGACGCGCCCCAGCTGCTCAAACACCGAGTACAGGCCGGCGGCGGCGATGGACCGCCACTTGTCATCCTGCAGAGCACAGGGAGCTGCTGGGTCAGGAATGGAGCCGTGTCCCGCCTTTGCCAGCAGAGTGATGAAGCCCAGGCAGTGTGCTCCCAAGGGAGGCCAGCATGTCACATCGCACAGCACCCTGCTAATCCCAGGAGCACGACGCCCCGGCGCAGCAGCGCACCCCGAATGCGTTGCTGGAGCCCCACATGCCGGAGTTGATGATGACGTGCGTGGGCTGTAGCGGGCGTACCACCCTCCTCAGGGCCTGCACCACGCAATCGGCACGTCAGCGCAGCGCTCAAGCCCTGCGGCATCCGGCAGACCGGCAAAGGCATGATGCCGACACGCCAGGCACTCGAGGCGACATGCATCCTGCGTCAGCTGGCGCACCCCGACCAGGTCAAACGCCCAGTCGGCAGTCTGGTTGCAGGTGGCGGGCGCGCACGGCGTCTGGCCCATGAGGTGTGGCGGGAAGCCGAAATGGCCGTGCACAGTGTGTGGCGCTGTAGTGTACGTGAAGTGGGAGACTGCGAGGGGAGGGGAGGTGGGCGGGAAAGCAGCGGGCATGGAGGGTGAGTGGCAGCGCAGCTGCCCACGCAGCAGGCGCCCGTAGGCCGGATGCACGACCCACGGACCCACCTGCCGTGGCGCCGTCTGCTGTGATGAAGAACCGGTTTTCAAACTTCTCCTTCTCGGGCGGCCTGGGGGTCACCCCTAGGATGTACTCCCTTCGGTAGCAGTCGCACAGCTCGCGTCCGCCAAACAGCGCGCTGGTGCCCCGCAGGAAGTCGTTCCAGCTGCGGCACGGCAGGGACCACAGCATGGGGCAGCAGGACGCAGCGCAATCAGGAGCTGCCTGCAGCCAACCGAGCAGCGCATCGGCCCCTTGCTCCGCCCCCTGGCCTGCCTTGCCTGGGCCACTCGTGCTCGTTTGTCACACTGGGCTGCCCTGGCACGCCGCCCAGCGGGGCAGGCCACTCTCCCTTCTCCAGAAAGTAGATAAGTGCAAGGTACTGATACCTGAAGAAGGACGGGAGGAGCAGCATGCGGCAGCATAGCAGGGCCTCAGCTCTGTGCGGCTCAGCTCTGTGCACCCTACGTCGCTAGCTCGGCCGACCATCTGCCCACCATCTCGCACCTGGTCAGGCTGTCCCCCACAAACACCAGTCGCTTGCCCGCCAAGCACTGCTTTGCCTCGGCATGGGAGTAGCGCTTCATGGTACAGCCTCGTATGGACAGCTGGTCGGCTGTGCCGTTGCGCTTGCTCCAGTGCACAGCGCTGTAGTTCAGCTGGGTGTTGAACTTGCAGGGCACCGGGGTGGGCCCGCTGCTGTTCCCCGGGTCCGCCGGCCGCCGTAGGGAGGCTTTTGACCGCAGCGGCAGGCTCTACATGTGGGGTGGTGGAGCGATGAAAGGAATTTAGAGAAATGGGGCCAGGGCTTGCGAGGGGATTGTCATGCTGGCCAGGATGGCACAGAACATGGCAAGTGCTGCTTCAGATGCACGCTGCTGGCCGCCGGCAGCGGACTGCACAAGGGGCTCACAAATCCCGGCCAGGGCGACCGCCGCTCCTCCAGCAGGCTTCCAGATAAGGTGCGCAGGACTGCCAGTGCGCAGAGCACCGCCACTCCAGCCCCGACTGCTGCTGTCAGCGCCGTGCCCGACCACCGCCTAACGGAGGGCTGGGGGGCCAGGCCTGCATGAGGAATCAGAAAGGTGTGGTATGAGATGCATGGCTCCCCATCCACATGCTGTGCAGGCTGTGAGCCAGGGCTCCAGCCTACCAGGGGCCAACATACTGCCTGGATGTCGGCACCGCTGGCGGCAGCGTCAACCGCCAAAGCGGCAGCTGATGGAGGCCGCCGCCGCAGTCGGCTGAGCAGAGAAATAAGCTTCGGCGCTATGTTTCGGCGATCTGACGAGCCCAGGGCTCCAGTGAACGTCGTCCTGTTGAGCGCAAGAGCTGTGATAAGTGGGAACCTCCCACCCCTCCTGGCAGAGGAACACGGATCCAAGCTCAAAGATGGCGGTCAGAGCGCCGGAAGGTGATGCGAGTTTTTGCTGCCTGCGAGGCGTGCTGCGCTTTTTTTGGGCTGTCACGACCTGCTGCCGAGAAAACGCCAGACAACGGAGCATCATTCCAGAAATTCAGCCCCATGCAGCCCCTCCGGTTTGCGGCAAACCGCAACAAGCCATGATTCAACTGAGGCACGTGTCCTGGCGGGTTTCGAAGGTCATTGCAGGATGCCTACCCTGGCCAGGTCAATTGGGCAGCCCTGTGCACCCCGGTGGAGTTGTTAACAACGGTGCCGGGAACAACATGCCAGGACACTGATGTGGGACAGACACAGGGACAAACTAAGGGCCGCTCAGCCGCTGCCAGTGCCGCCGGCGACGTTCGAGCTGGGCGGCGCTCGAAGGCCGCCGCCGGCCGCGCCGCCATCGCTGGCTGTGGCTGCAAGCTCTGCCAGCGTGGCCCGCATTCCAGCGCTCATGCCGGCGCTCAGCAGGGCCGCGGCCGCCGTCTCCAGCTCCAAAAGATTGCTGCCGCAGCTCTGCACCCTCCTGCCGCCACCGGCCAACACGCCCCCGCCGCCGCCTGCACTCGTGCTGGCGCCGCTGCCGTCGCCGCCACCGCCAGCATGGACCACGGGGCGGTAGCAGCGCCCCGAGCTGGAAAGAAAGTCGAGCTGCAGGTCCACGCTGCCGCCGGCCGCCGCCGCCAGGCGCGCCGAGCTGCCATAGCCGCGCTCCTCTGCCGCCAGCAGCGGGCATGAGTGGCGCAGCAGGCGCAGGCGCGGCAGGCCGGCCAGCAGGCCGCGCCACTCGGCGGGCGTGGGCTGCAGCTGCCAGCAGCGAGCCAGGTCCAGCTCGGTGAGGCAGGAGCAGGCCGCCAGCGCGGCAGCCGGCAGGCTGGCAAAGCGGTTGCCGGCGAGCACCAGCTTCTCTAGCAGCGGCGGCAGCATGGCAGCTTGTGCTGCCGCCGCCGCCGCTGCTGTCGCGGCGCCCGCGGCACGGCTGGCGACCAGCTGCTGCTGCAGCTGCTGCTGGTGCCGTCGGTGAGAGGGCGAGCTCACGCTGCCAGGTCCAGGGGCCCCCGCCGCCGCTGCCGCCGCCGATGGCTGGAGGGGTGGCGCTGGCAGGGACGTTAGCTGGTTGTCTGAGAGCAGCAAGGTGCGCAGCTGGGGCAGGCTGGCCAGCCGCGGCGGCAGCCGCTCCAGGGCGCAGCGCGCAAAGTCCAGGAATCGCAGCGCGGTCAGCGCGGCCAGGGGCGCAAAGGGGTCTGCCTTGTGCTGGCACATCTCGCCAAACGCCTCCAGCCGGTCGCAGCCTGCATCGCACAGCAGACCGAAATCAACCGATCCCCGATGATCCTGGGCCGGCCGTTGACGAGGCGGCCAGCTGCCGCTCCGTCCAAGGGAACGGGCGGCGGCGCTGCAAGCACGCGCTGCCGCGGCGGTCGCACCCCTGAACGACAGCAGCGTGAGGCTGGTGAGCGCGGTGAGTGCGTCGGGGACCGCCGACAGCGCGCCCTCTGTCAGGCGCAGCTCCCGCAGCCCGCTGGCTGCTCGCAGCGGCGTGAACGCGCTCTCCTCATCTGCAGGTGAGGGCAGCGGCAGAGCCGGGTGTGTTGGACGGGGTGCATGGGGGATGCGAGGGCAGCTCAAGAATGGCCAGCGCCGCAGCCTCTACCAGCCGCATCTGGCGCCAAGGGGCTGGGAGGCAGCTCACCGGCTTGCAGCAGGTAGGTGGCGGCGGTGCCCAGGGTGAGCTTGCACAGGCGGGTGAGGCGCGTGAAGCAGTCTGGCAGCTCGTCCCAGCCCTCTGTGTCAGGGTCGGCCTCCCCCACGCTGCAGGGAGGAGCAGGTGTGGCAAGGCGGTGTGCGCCAGGGCAGCTGCAGCTGCAGCTAGCAACAGCTGGCGCCACGCAGGACTCCAGCTGCCTTCCCAAGCAGCCCGCAACCCTTGGATTTGCCTTGCTGCCGTGCTGCCGTCTTTCTGCTGCTGCTTCCTCCCTCACCGGTCAATGACGAGCTCTGTAAGCGACGGCGGCAGCGCCAGCTCCGTCAGCCCCGGCAGCGCATTCCACATCTCCAGGCTGTCCAGCTGCAGGCAGCAGAGAAGGGAGGTGCAGCGTGGTGGTGGCTGGGTGCGCGAAACGTGGCTGAATGGCTGAGCAGCACCACGCCGGGAAGGGCGTGGGCCCGGCCACCGACAAACGCCCACCACACTGATGGCTCAACCAACGCTCATCCTCCAGGAGCTGCCCCGACGCCCACCACCCTTGGTGCTTTCTTCCCCCAACCTGCGCCGCACCTGCGTCATGCCCGCCAGCCAGCGCCAGTCCACCCAGAAGAAGGGCCAGTCGCTGCAGGTGCCACGCAGCACCAGGCGCCGCAGCCCGTCGGCCAGCGACGGCACCAGCAGGCCCAGCAGCGCCTCGGCGTCTGGGTACAGCAGGGCCACCTCGAGGCTGGCCACCGCCGTGGCGCGGCGTGCCAGCCACCCCACCACTCGCTCCACATCCAGGGCTGCATGGAGCCAGGAGTGGAGCAAGGCGCAGGATGGGTGGGTGGATGGGTGGCACACAAATCTGGCGATGCTGGCTCATTGCAGCAGCACAGAACCGCAGGTGAGGGCAGCAGGCAGACTTGCGGCAGCGTAGCCCGCATCCAACCCACCGCATGGTGTGGTGTAGCTATTTCGCCTGCACCGGGGGGGAGCAGACGGCGAGGCAGGGGTTGAGAGGCAGGGCACGGCAGCATGTCATTGGAGGCACACACCGCAGCCCAGGCAGCCAGGCAGCTGAACCGCACCGATCTCTGCCTCGGGAGCGCTTGGGCGGCAGGGCCAGCTGCACCTCGTGCCACAGCTCCAGCCGGTCGCGCAGCAGCGCAGCCCAGCGCCGGCACGTCGACGCGACCGCCCGCAGCTGCGTGCTGTCACGCACGGCCGCCAGCACAGCCGAAAGCAGGTCGTCAGTGAGGTCGTTGATGCTCAAGCCTGGCCCCTCTCGGCGGAGCGCCAGCGGCGGCAGCGCCGCCATGGTGATGACCCGGGCGGTGCGTGCGCGCTGCGGGGCCCAGCGGCCGGCGTCTCGTGCTACTCAACACAGCGGCTGAGAAAGGGTGTGGCGCCTGAAGCGGCCAAGGGGACCGTGTCTACTTTGGTTGCGGCTTGGGCGAAAACCGCTGGCGCACAGTTTAATATTGGCTGCTGGGGAAGTGTATTTTTGTTTAGACAGGGCCAAGGCTTAATGCCACCGCCGCCACTTGGCGCATTACCACCCACCTTCGGTGCGGTGACGATCTGAGGCAGGCCGCAGCACCGCCCACAGTCCCCTCCTTCAGGTCCTTTACTGATGGGCATGGTATGCATATGGCTTGCAGTTTCACAGATGCCTCACAATCAGCAGTAGCACTGCAAAGGCAGCCTGACCGTCGTCCCCTTCCTACCGCTTCTCCCTGTGCTGCCACCGCATGCTGGCCACGGCCACCAGCACGCATGCCGCCGCGTCGCCAGGCTCCTCATGCAGGTCGGCAAAGTTGGCCAGATCATCCTCCCTCTGCTCTGGAGCCAGGCTGTGGCAAAAGGCAGTGCTGTAGTAGGCAGCCGAGCGCAGGTCGAGGCCGCCCGCCTCCCTGCACAACCGCAGCACCGTACGCAGCTGCTGCACCTGCTGCTTGGAGGGTGCCTGTGTGGCGCCAGCCGCCGAGGACCCGGCCGCAGCTGCCGCGTGCTGCACACAGGCGCCCAGGGCTGCCAGCTCGCCGGCTGCTGCCAGCTCAGCGAAAATGGCGGCATCCTGCTGTGCCTGGTCGGGGTTGAGCTGGTGGTTGAGCGCTGCACGATAACGACCAGCCGCGCCCCTGCCCAGCACCCCAGCTGCCTTGCACCGCTCCAACAGCGCCAACAGGCGCCGCCGCAGCTGAGCGGCCGGCTCCTCTGCTGCTGCCGCAAGAGTGATATTTGCGGCTGCCGCTGCCGGGACTGCCGCTGCTGCTGCTGCTGCACGCGATGCCTCAGCAGCAGCCCCTGCAACCGGCTGCTGCTGCTGACCACTGAGCTGAGAGCTCTTGCTAAAAGCCACGCCTGGTGGGGCAATCGCAGGGTCTGCAAGAGCGCCGGCTGCTGATGCCCCACCTGAGTGCACGGCAGCAGGTGCGGCAGCATGCGCCAAAGGCTTCTGTGCCACCTCCCTGGTTTGCTGCTGCCGTGGCAACTGCTGCTGCTGCCGCCTGGGAGACTGCTGTTGAGATGACTGTTGCCTCTGCTCCTGGCTGTCCTGCTCCCGCACCAGCAACGGGCTTGGCGACTGCTGCTTCTGCTGCTCCCGCTCCTCGGTGCGCGGCTGCGACAGCGGCCGCTCCTCCTCCTCATCATCGCTGCTGCTGATGACCACCCGTTGCCGCTTGTAAGATGGCGGCGAGGCAGCAGCAGCAGCTGGTGCCGCACCTGCTGCTGCCGCCGCCGCACCCTCTGCCGCATCCTCGCAGTGCCGCTCGTACGCGGCCAGAGCGGCGGCCACTTCCGTGCGGTGGCTGCGCTCCTCCTCCACCTCGGATGGCAGCTGCCCCGCAAAGTTGCGGATGCTGCAAGACAGAAGGAGGCCACGCACAAAGGGAGGCTGGCTGACAATGCATGGTTGCGAACAAGAGATACGAGCAGACAACAGCCTTCATGCCCAGCCCTCTGGCTGTGCTTGTGCTAAAAAGCTGACAGGTGCTCGGCCCCCACCTGACATCTGCGCCCCCATCAACAAACTTGTGAACATACTGAGCGCTGGCGTGGGGCTTGGCATGCCGCACCAACTCGTGGAGCACCGTGTTGCCCTCATTGTCCTGCAGAGCAGGCAGGAGCGGGGCATCGGGATCAGCTGTCCAGCCAGGCCGCTATGTGCACGGCATCATTTGCCCGGCGCCATACCTAGGCTGTGCTGCAGCGTTTCAGGTTCACAACAGCAAGTGCGGCATGGCAAGAAGGCAGAACAAGCGCAGACGGGGCACTCTGGCTGTGACGTGCCTGCTGGTTCACCGCCACGCCCAGCTTGCGCGCCAGCCACAGCAGGTGGCACAGCAGCGGGAAGAGGTCCTTGGAGGAGTTGGCCCAGGAGCAGGTGTAGAAGAGGAAAGTGCGGCCCTGGGCATCCAGCGACCGCGCATCGATGCTGGGGTGCTGCAGCAGCGCCCCCAGCAGCTTGCCACGGCGCTGCAGCGCCCCGTCGCTCTTGTCGATGGCGGGCACCTGCGAGCCAGGCGGGCGGGGGGGCAGGGGCAGGAAGGAAATGAGAGCAGGGAGCGGCACGAGCAAGCAAACAGGTGCAACCGAGCGGCAGGAGCCACTCGCCGTCTGGATGGCCAACCGCAGGAGGTGCTCCGACTTTTCTGAGCCCTCCAGGTCCAGAAGGAACTCGACCAGGTGCGTGCGGCCGTGCCGGGCCGCCAGGTCCAGCGGAGTGTAGCCATCGGCGTCCTTGGTGCTGCAGGTCGCGGCAGCAGGAGAGGGACTGATAAAGGGTGGAAGCTAGGCAGGCGGCCGGGAGTCGCAGTGCATGAGAGGGCCAGTATTGGATCAGTGTCCGTGGATGGTGGCTGGAATGCCCAGAAAATAGGCAGAAGGGCACGGGGCGTGGCACATCCGCATGGCACTGTGGCACCCACTTGAGGCCTGCCCCCTGCTCTAGCAGCAACTGCAGGAAGCCGCTGCCTGCGATGGCGGCGGCATGGGCCGGGGTGCAGCCGTCGGCATCCTTGGCGTCTATGCCGACCCCCGCCTCCACGGCTGCGGAGATGAGGCGGCGTGCCAGACCCTCCAGCTCGGGCTTGAAGGGATGCCAGGTGTCTGCCACCACGTGCAGCACGGTGCGTTCGTCGCGCGTGCACGCAGCCAGGTGCCGTGTGCTGACCAGCCGCGACAGCAGGCGCCCTTTCCCGGTGGCCGTCAGCTCGTCCAGCAGGGCCGCTAGCACGGCAACCCGATCTTCCAGCTTGGCCCACCGTTTCCCGGTGCCTCGCCAGTGCTTCATCAGGGAGGGCAGGGGGAGAATACTCGAGTTAACTTCTAAATTCAAGTTGAGCGGCGGCGGCGGGTTTGAAGTGGCGCCAGCACCAGCGGGCGTACTCTGTCGCCTATCTGAGACACCGCCAGGATGAAAGGCGTGGCCCCATTGCAGTCAGCATGCCGATAGCCGTGGAGGTTCAATTCGCTGCCCAACTTTGTTACACTGGCCACGTCCACGGCCTCCACCGCAAACCACAGGTCGCCGGGCGCCGACATGCTGTTTGGCATTGCCAGACACACACAATGCGCAGCATTTGGCCCCAACCAAATGTACTACTGAAGGTACTGCCTGTTCTGTGGAAACTCGGCTTTTTCATGCGAAGAGGGCGCCAATTGACGCTGTGAAGGACCCTTGAAGGGGCCCTGTAGCACCATCCCAGCTCTGCTCTCGAGCAAAGGGAGGCTGTGCCATGACGCTCGTGTTCGCTGCTGTGTTGCTACTGGCATGCTCGACACATGCGTCCGGCAGCGGCAGGAGGCTGTCGGATGGCGACGGGGTTGTGGCCTCCGACAAGCAGCTGCCGCCCGTGCGCCAGTCGGTGAAGACGCTGGGCCCAGCTCTGGGTGCGTACAGCTTCATGGCAGCTCTGATGGACGGTAACGAGACGTGGTGCGGAGGCACATTGATCAGATCCAAAGTGAGTGGAGAATACACGCACCCGGACCAGCGCCTGCAACCACGCCTATGTGGCGCTCCTGCCCTGCCGCTGCCCGGCCTTGCCATGGCTGCTTCCACGCTCGACAATCACACCCCTGATGTCGCTGCAGGCGGTTTTGACCGCTGCGCATTGCTTAGATAACGAGGATGGGACTTATTGGCGACCTAGCAGCGTTCGAATTGGCTGGGCCGACCTTCGCTACCGCCAGACTGGCGACGAGCAGATCTCGGTGAAGCGCATCATTGTTCACCCTTCATACAAGCGAGCCCCAGAGGTCACAGAATATGGCTCCGATTTTGCCATCCTGGTGCTGGAGCGCCGCTCCAAGAAGCGGCCCATCACGCTGTCCCGCCCGGGCTCCAAGCTCAAGGCGGGCGCATGGGTCTGGGCCGCCGGCTACAGGTGGGGCACGCGGCTTTTTGGTGTTGCCTCCTCCAGCTGACTGGATGGGTTTGCATGGGTCCTGCCTTTAGGGACCCTTTCCTCAGTGTATGGAGCAACACCCTATGCTTGTCCCCCTTTCAGCAACATGGGCAAGAAATACGGCACGACCGCCAACTGGTTTTGGACGCAAGTCAACTCGCCCAAGACGTGTGTGAGGAAGTACAGAGAGATTGCTGGCGGCAAGCTTCGGGAGTCGACCAGGACAATCTGCACCGGAGGCCAGAATGGGCGGCACGAGGGAGTGTGCAGCGGGGACTCAGGTGAGGGGAGGGCTCTTGCAGCTGCTGGCCACCTGCGTGCTCGCTTGCACCTCCTACGCCTAGTCCCCGTCGCCTGTTCATCCGCTACCCGCCCATTGCTTGCTTGCGTGCAGGCGGCCCGCTCATTTACGGCGACGACCCTGGGCCCTACATCCAAGTGGGTGTCTTGTCCTGGGGCCTGGGCCCCAGCCCCTGCGCGCCCGGTGCCGTGGGAGTCAATTGGTGGGCCAGTCTGCTCTACCCGCCCCACCGCAAGTGGCTGGCAAGGAAGCTGAAGAAGCTGGGGTAGAGGTACTGACGGTGCGCCAGAGATAAATGCGCCCATGACTGCGTATGGCAAGAGCAGCGCTTGAAATTCGCGACGCTTCTTCGGTCACGTCAACCTTGCACCTGGTTCTCCTTCACGATTTGTTTGCTTTTTGCTCCGTTACATGCCGCTCCGCTTTTGTACCGCTTGCACAGAGTCGCTGTCGTGCTCGGCGGGCGCTATTCTCATGTCAAGCCATGTTAGGCCCGCCGCCGCTGCCGCCACCGCCCGCCGCCTTGCCCATGGCCTGGAAGGGCGACATCCCCGGCGGTTGCCGAGCCTGCTGCTGCGGCAGCGGGGCACCAGCCGTTGCAGTGGTTCCCGTTGACCTGGCGCTGTGCTGCCCACCTTCGTTGCTGTCATGGTGCCAGTCGTACGAAAACAGGTCATCTGCACATGGCAGGAAAGGCAAAGGCATGAGTGTCTGACTGGAGTAGTACAATCGCAAGCTGCTGATGATGCGGCCCGGCATCCCACCCTGATGCAAGGGCACACAGGTGGTGGGCATCGGGATGCAGTGGCAGCTCCTGGCATGCTCTGGTGGGCCAGCAGAGTGATGCAGGCATGCCTACCTGGATTGGGCGCATTCCACAGCCAATTAACCCCTGCACCAAAGCTATCCTTGAACACCGACAGCCCACGCACCAGGCGCGAGCTGCCCGGCTGCGGCTGCTGCTCTGCCGTCGTGCGTAATCCCCCAGAGCCCTCCCGCCCGCTGATGCTGGTGGCAATGCTCAGTGTGGCCTGCTGCCGTGCCCTCAGAGAGGCAGCGGCGCGGGCCACCACACGGTCTGCCTGCTTGTCGGGCCTAAATGGCGGGCGGGTGGCGGCCCCACCCAGCGCAGGGTTCTGCCGCGGCAGCAGCGTCTCGTTGGCTGGCTGCGGCACCGGGAGCGGCTCAAACGCCGAGGCCACCTGCTGCTGGTAGGCGGGGGCGCAGCAGGGAGGCATCTGCGGGCAGGGAGGGCAGGGCAGCGGTAAGGGCAGGGAGGTCGACTCGGGCTCAGTGGTGGCACGCACGGCATTGACACTTGGGTGGTCATGCACCGGCATATGCAAGCATTGTCATCTAGCCCCCTAAGCCACCCCCCACACGCAGGGCCCAGCCCAGCCCCAGCCCACCTCTGGAGTGTAATGATCGTCCAGGCCCTGCCGCTGCCCTCGTCCCAGCGTCTCCTGATAGGAAAGGCCGCCGGTGACCGTGCTGTAGGCAGGACCAGCGCACACCAGCGGATCGTGAAGTGGCTGGCAGCCAGCGCCATGCAAGCGCACAGACTGGAAAGGTAGCGGCGGCGGCAGCGGAGCAGTCGCCCACCTGCGGCGCCGCGGGACAAGCCCCAGCACCATGCGCAGCGGCGCGATGGTGAACAGCAGCCACACCGCCAGGCCCGTCCAGAACACAGCCACCATGGCGCCCTCGTCCTGCAGAACAGGCGGGGGGCAGGGACCCAGCCCAGGGTGTCACAGCTGCAGGCCAGGAGCCGCCTGGAGTCGAGCGTGCAAGACTTTCCTGCTGGCTGAAGAACCTGCCCAGATACCTGCCCTGCCTGGCCGTGCTGCCTGCCTGATCCCGCCCGCTGCCCTGACCCACCCACCCGGAAGTAGAGGAAGCGCATGAGCAGCAGCTGCACCAGCGGCAGCAGGCGGATGAGCAGGGAGGCGCTGCTGACCAGCTTGCCCCGCATGTTGCCCGGGTGTGCGGCCCGCCTGCGGTGCAGTGCATGTGAGAGAGGCAGGGTGGGTGCGGCAGGCTTGATGGGTCGACAGCAAAGCACCCGACGGAGGTCAGGAGGCAGGGAGGTTGGCAGGGGCACTCACCTCAGCGCGACAATCTTATCTGCCCAGTACGCCAGCAGCAGGCCTGCAGAGGCAGCACGCCAAACCATGCACTCGTGAGGACCGGTCACACCGGCATTTTTTGCCCCGCTTCAGGGATTCCGCGCCAACGCTGTTGCAAGGCTGTCCGGCACATGCGTTGCTGTTATGAACAAGCCAACGCACCCAGGGCTGCGATGTATGGGCTGATGGGCAGCACGGGCATCCAGCACACCGCCACCCCCAGCGTGGTCAGCGCCGAGGCATACTGCTCCGCCAGCAGGAAGGGGGGCGGCTCCAGCAGCCGGTTCATCATGGCCTGTGGAGCAGAAAGGTACGATGGGTTGGGCGGGGGAAACGCTCAGCAGACACCCGTGTGGCGAGCAGCTTGGCCAGGGGGGCTGGCCACCAGTGCCAAGCCGCCCGTGCGCCCATTCAACTTCCGCCATGCACCTGCGTCTTGGCTGAGCGTGAGACCAGGCAGAAGTAGAGCAGCTCCTCCACGTCGCACAGCGTGGCCAGCGGGGGCAGCAGCGCAGTGGCCAGCTGCATGTAGAAGGCTGACTCCATGAGGCCGCCACGGGAGTACCTGGGGGCAGGCAGGCAGGCAGGGTAGTGGAAGGATGTGCGCACGCGCGTGTGTCGTGGTGGCGGCAGCGCAGACCGCATCATGCCACATCCGATCCATTCGTGCGGGACACATGAGAGCTCGCCCCTCACCAGCTGCTGCTGCTCCCTGCAAAGTAGGCCGCCAGCAGGGGCACCACAAAGGCATTGGTCAGGTACGCCACTGCAAGGGAGGGCAGGTTGGAAGCACATGAGCATAGCGGGCGGATCGCCAGCAAGCGGAGCGAAACAGTCTGCATCGAATAGACCACCCAACTCCCGTTCCCCATCCCCTTCCCCTCTAGCCTACGCTCGCCTGACAGCTTGAGCAGCGCCCAGCGCTCGCCAGCGGTGCCCGTGTGCCACCGCTCCAGCACCGTCAACTGCAGGCAGGCGACCCAGACCTCGCCAGCCACCTCAACCAGCAGCCAGCACTTCCAACAGGAAACTGACGAGCATTCACCAAGTGACCCCCCAACTCCTGACCAGGGGCCACCACCAGCGAGGGCCCACCTTGCGCACCGCCACCGTCACCAGCCAGTTGACCAGCACCACAGCCAGGCCCGACAGGATGCTGATGGCATTCAGCTTGGTCACCTGCAGCGGCAGATGGAGAGCGTGGTGGGGCAGCAGCAGCCGGGGCTGTGATGATTGCTGCCATCGCAGCCCCAAGCCATCCGCAACAGGGGCGCCCAGCTGGCCGCCGCCTCAGCAGGTGCCCGAGCCAGCAGGAGCCTTGGCCCAGGCAAGCGCCTCAGCCAGCTGCCCGCCGACCGCACCTCTAGCGCGGATGCGGTGAAGGCAGCCCAGGAGGAGAAGTCGAGCGATCCGTCCACTTCGCTGTCATAGCTGTACAGAGTGGACATCCTGCAGTGGCAGACAGCGGCACCGCACATGAGCAGCGGCAGGCAACCCAGCTGCCCATCTCCCTCCAAGCGCGCCCCGCTCCCGCTCACTTGTTCTTGCGTTCATCCTCCCCCGCCACTGCCAGCCCGTACTGCACCCCGGCCCCCGCCGCCACAATCAGCAGCGTGAGGCCTGCTGACGCCAGCCGCCGCGTGAGCGCAGCCGAGCCGGTGCAGGCGGTGTGCTGCCACAGGATGTCGGATGGTTCGGGCGCCCTGAGGCAGGCGGGCGGGAGCAGCGATAGAACAGCAGAGTTGTCCTCACTTCCTGCTCGCCCGCCTGCGGTGTCCACCCCCAGTCCTGGGGGCAGCCGCAGCGCCAGGTGCGCAGCCGCAGCCGGCTGCCTGGCCACCCACCTGCGGACCCGCACGCGCCGCGAGGCCAGGCGCGGCGCGGTGGCGGTGGCGCCGCACAGCGCCGCATCCAGCGCCCGGCGCACCGCGGGGCGGTGGTGGTCCTCAATCATGTTTGCCGCGTGCTCCGCATACTCAAACACAGCCAGCGCGGTGCCTGCGGCAGCAGCAAGCCAGCCAGCCAGCCAGGGAGCGACGCTCTGCCTCAGCCGCCATGCAAGCCTCCCTTGGCAGGGAAGGGAGTGGGGACGCGCACAGGCGGGCAGAGAGGTTGGCTGCCGACTGCGATGCAGGCACCCGGCCGACGCCAGGCTCCCTCCCGGTGGTGGGCAGTACCTGTGGGCCTCAGGTCCTGCCGCTCGTAGCAGCGCAGCTTGCGGGCGGCGGCGTCCAGCTGGCGCTGCAGGCGCTGGCGGCTGGCGGCGCCCAGGGCGCACAGGTTGAACCACCAGGAGGCGCAGGCGCAGGAGGAGGAGGCCAGCCAGGCGTCGCTCTCGGCACGCCTGCAGCAGGGCAGAGGGTTGGGGCAGGGAGTGCAAGGCAGGGGGAAGTTGACGCCGCATGCGGGAAGGGGGCCGTGTTGCGCGCTGCATGAGCCCCAGGTTCCTCAAGACCGCACCTGACCAGCAGCATCTGCAGCCGCTGCGCCACTCCGATGGCGTCCCCCACATCGGGAATGCTGTACGTGGCCACCACTGCGCCAGACAGCACGCAGGGGGCTGCTGGTCAGGCCAGGTGCACTGGCTGGCAGATGCCCGGCATCTGCACACCCAGCATCGGCGCACCCGGCACAACCGCCATCCCATCCACCCGCCATGCCCACCAGCCCGCCGCCGCCAGCTCACCGCCGCCGTAGTGGCTGCACCACTCTCGCAGCTCCGAGTCTGCCACGGTGCCAGGGATGCCCTGCACCACCGCCGTGTAGTCGCTGGCGGTGATGACCCTGGCGTCGCTGGCGTGCACAGCGTGCAGCTGCGCAGGCAGGCGGATATCGGCGCCCAGTCAGCACAGGCGCAGCAGGGGTCATCATCCACTGCCGGTCAGCTTGGTGGTGCTGGCCGGGATCTTGCAGGATCCCCACACCCCACCCACACACCCAGAATGACCGGCGGGCCCACCTGGGAGTGCGTGAGGAAGAGCACCCACCCCAGAAACAGCAGCTGGCCCAGGAACAGCACCCAGAGCTGGGCGGCGGGCACCGTGCCGGCGCTGGCGCTGGCACTGCCGGCGGCGCTGCTGTCCAGCTGCAGTGCGCAGCAGTAGCAGGGCCCGTCCGGGGCGGCTGGGTCAGAGGTGGCGCTGCTGCACGGCGGGTGCAGCAGGCAGGTGGCGTTGGCGTTGTGTGCGTCGGGCGGCAGGATGGGGGGGGGCAGGCCCGCGCACTGCGGGTTGCTGGCCAGTGTTGCTGAGGTCCAGGTGCAGACGGCGGGGCAGTCAAAGCTGCTGCTGTAGGTGGAGCTGCTGCAGCGGCTGCCCGCCGTGGTGCCCGTCACCCAGCTGCTCGTGTCCCAGCCCTTGCTGCACATCTGGAGCGGCGCCTGCGGCAGGCAGCGCAGCACGGCACGCTCTGTGCCGGTGCCCCCGTCCTGCCAATCGAATGCGCTCTCAAGCAAGGCCGGCAGCGCAGCTTGCACGACCGCCGGCCCTCCTGGCACCCCATCTCCCCGACTGAGTCTCACTTCACGACCTGCTGCGCCACTCCACCCACGCCCACCTGGTCCACCTCCAGAGTGTACCCATCCGCCCATCTCTGGCTGGTCATGTTGCTGACCAGCGGGTAGATGGCCACCAGGCTGCGGGGAGGGAGGGAGGGAGGCATGTGGTGGACCACCATGGGGCTGGGGCCAGCTCACCTCATGCATCCAACCGGACTTCATAGACGGTTTGAAGTGGCGAGGAAAGCAGTGAAGGGAAGCAGTGAAGGGCCGAGCCGACGGTAAGGCCGCCAAGCAGAAGGGTGGCAAAACCCTGCCTTCAGGCAGCCCCGCCGCCCTTGCCTGAGCAGCATAGCCGCGACGATGAACTGCTTGACGCTGGCAAAGTACACGCCCAGGCCTGCAGGCGGCAGCAGCGGTGCAGCAGCCAGATCAGCGGCTTTGCGGCATGCTGCTGACAGGTGGTTGTTGCTGGTGATGGCTGGGAGCCACAGCCCCGCAGCGGTTGGGCAGACACAAGCCAGGTGCCACGCCTGCGCTCCCCTCCCTCCCTCCCTCACCAGTGCACGCCTCTCCGATCTTCTGGGGCGAGGCCCAGAGGCTGAAGGGGCGGGCGGAGGAGGCCACCGGCACCCCAAACTGGTCGCGGTCCTGCTGGCGCAGCTGGCGCAGGTGGCGCTGGCGCAGCGCCGCCGTCCTGCACAGGCGGCAGGCGAGCCAGGCAGCGAGTGAAGAAGGCGGGGCGGGCTACCAGAGGAGCAGAGGGCCAGCGACGCACAGCAGCAGCGTGCAGACGGCTGTGGCAGTGGGCGGTGCCTTGCCTGGAGGGGCGCTGCCCGCCCAGCTGCGACTGGCCTCCCACGCGGGCCGCCGCCTCCTCCACCGCGGACGTGGCGCCCGCATAGGCATCCAGGTGGAAAGTAGAGGCATCTATGGATTTGCTGGGGGATGACTTGCCGCCGCTGCCGTCCTCCTCACGCTGCACACCAGAGGGCACCGGGGCGTCGGGGCGAGGCACCACCAGCAGCAGCAGGCGGCCAGCAGCCCACAACCATCCATGCATGCGGGCATGCGCGCCCTGCGGCGTAACCCAGGCGACACTGAGCCGGCTGCTGACCTGCTGGGCGCCATGCGCCGCACCCTCTGACGGCAGGAGCTGCTGCTGGGAGGAGGGGATGCGCGTCATGGAGGCAGCCGAGGGCGGCCGGAAGAGCGGCGGCGGCGGCAGCCCAGTCCCCGCCGGCGGCATGCTGGTGGGGCCCGACAGGCTGCTGGTGCCCCAGCTGGCTGCAGGTAGCGGGTCGGCTGCCGCAGCAGCAGGCAGCGCTTCGGCGGGCGCCGCCGCCGGCTGTGGGTGCCGGAACCAGCCAAAGCGCCCCGGCGGCAGCGGCGGCGGCGGCGCAGTCGGCAGCGCCTGCTCCCCAAACAGCTGCTTCTGTGAAAGCGGGGGCGCCTCCTCTTGATAGCCTGACCATGCCGCTTCTGCTGCTGCTGCCGGGTCTACTGCTGCTGCCGGCGTCGGCTGGCCAAACAGGCGATAGGCCTCTCCCAAAGGGGAGGCTCCTGGCGGCGGCGGCGGCGGCCGATACGTGGTTGCCATCTCGGCTGCATACCGGCGGGACCCCGCAGGCTGCTGGAGTTGAGTCGGCGAGGGAGCCGCGGCACGTGCCGCGGCGCCAAAGCGGGGCGTGGTGGCCGCGTCGCTGAGCGGCGGCGGCGAAGGCCGCACCACCACGCTGCTCTCTCGCAACGACTCCATTCCCTCCAGCTCCAGGCTGCCCTGCTGCACCATGTCATCATCGTCAGCAGCATTGTGCTCCTGCCTCTGGTCGCCGCCTCCAAACAGGCGTGCCGCCCAGGCTGGCGGCGCAAGGCTGACCGAGCCAGCACTGCCGCCGGTGGCGCCGGTGGCGCCGCCGCTGCCGCCGGCGGTCCCGCCATTGAGGGACTGCGAGGCGGTGTGGAAAGGGCCGCTGCCGGTGTTCCCGCTCTCTGCAGTGTAGTAGCGGGACGTGGGGTTGCTCATCGTGAGCCTTGCCCCAACCACCCAACGGTCACGGCTGGCGTCAGTTCACACCAGCCGTGGCACCCCAGATTCGCCTGAGGTGCGGGTGGTAAGTCGAGGAGGACGTCCGAGGCCTGATTTTTCGCAGCAGGGCATGGGTGCCCTGCCGGCAGCTGCTGGCAGAGCGGAGGGGTGATGCAACTCACCACGATCAGCCTGCTCAATCTTGGCGGACGTGGGATGCCAATTCTCGCTCGCGGGGCGCCCTGCCTGCGACGCCCTCAGCTGCCCGCCCATTGCAGGGAGCAGCGGTGCTCCTCCGCCTCACACAACACACATCGTGGCGTCATGGAGGAGCCTCCAGCAAGGACAGCATTGCTAGAGGCGGCGGCAAGGGGCCGCCGGGTGCCCACCACCCTGCAGGTGCGTCGGGCGGCAACGCTGTCGGCGGCACAATGCGCAAGTGCTTTGCGCCTCGAGAGTCAGGCTCCCTGCATTCATGCCTCGATGTCTCCACTTCCTGGAAAGCTGGCTGCGCAGGTCCGGCCCGGCCTCGCCTCTGGCGCTCCCATGGCGCCCGAGCTGGCTGCCGCGTTTGAGGGCCTGCACGTGGAGGAGGTGCAGCTCTGCACCGACGCCGACGCGGCCTCCACCAGCAGCGATGCCGCCTCCCAGGCCTGGCTTCCCGTGCGCCTGGTTAAGCGGGCGCGTGCGCAGCAGGAGCGGCTGCCGGCGGTGGTACTGCTGCATGCCACGGGGGCGAGCAAGGACAGCATGGCGACGCAGCAAGCCGAGTTTGCTCGGCGCGGGTACCTGGCGGTGGCGGTCGACTGCAGATACCATGGAGAGCGCAGCGTGGATTTGGAGGACTGCCGCGGCGGCTATGAGCAGGCCCTGGTCAGGTGCGGGGCGGGGCCTGTTGCCTGGCCTGTCTGATTGGCTAGTATCGGGGCCCATGCAGGACCCACATTTATCGGTTTGCAGCCAGGAAAGCGATTTGGGGTCAACTATGCTTGCAGCCCCTTCCCTGCCCTCCGCAGGGCGTGGCGGCGCAGCGGAGAGCGCCCCTTCCTGCTGGATAATGTGTGGGACCTTCACCGCCTGCTGGACTGGCTGCAACACAGGCAAGGAGGCGGCGGCGCAAGCCGCCTGCCGCGCCTGGCTCGGCTGCCTGCACAACTCTGTCAGTCGCCTGCTCTTGAAGGCTGCCTTCCGTGACCCACGCCGCGCATTTATAGCCTGCCGCATCGCTCTCGGTGCAGGCCTGACGTGGATGCTGCCCGCATCGGCATGACAGGGGTCAGCCTGGGCGGCATGCACACCTGGCTGACGGCGGCGGCGGACGTGCGTGTGGCTGTCGCGGCGCCCATGATTGGTGTGCAGCACTTTGGGTGCGTGCAGCAACGCTTTGGTCGCTGGTGCTGGCAGCCTCGCTGGGGATGGGGGAGGCTGCCGGCGGGTGGGTACAGGGACTGATGGGGACGTGTGCCCTGCTGCCTGCCTGCAGCTGGGCGGTCCAGCAGCAGCAGTACCACGGCCGCGTGGGCAGCATACCCCTTGTCTTCCAGGCAGCTGCAGCAGACCTCGCACAGCAGCAGCAGCAGGGCACTGCAGCAGGTGCTGAAGTCAGCCCAGAGGTGGTGGCGGCGGTGTGGGAGCAGCTACTGCCTGGTGAGCTGCCGCAGCGCATGGCGCGCCTGTGGCATGCGTCCCCCGGCTTGGAGATGGTCTGGAGGCAGCCCACTGCGTGGATTCGCCGGTGCTTCCATCCCCTGCACGCCTGAGGTGGCTCTCCCCGGCCATGCTGTGCAGGCTTGCTCGATCGCTACGATGCCCCTCATTCGCTGCCGCTGCTTGCCCCCCGCCCGTTGCTGGTGGCCAATGGGGAGGTTGACCCTCGGTGCCCAATGCAGGTGCTGCTCAGTGGCTGGGGCGGCTGATTCCTGGACACCGTGCTGTGCCATACCAAGCAGATTGCCAGCAGCGGGCGCCAATGGCGCTGCCGGCATGTACTGACCTTGCAGCCTTGGCCCGGCACGTGCGGTGCAGGGCGTGGAGGTAGCGATGGAGGCTGTTCGAGCGGCATACGAGCGTCACGGCGCCGCAGACAAGCTGCAGCTGTATGTGGTGCCTGGCTGCGGGCACGAGTGCACCGCCTGCATGTGGGAGCAGGTGAGGGGGCTGAGCTGGCGGCCTTTGGATGACGCCTCCCAGTTTTCATCCAGTGTGCCACCTCCCCTCCTGCAGGTATTTGCCTTCATGGACCGCCACCTTCGAGGCACCACGCCTTGCAGCAGCCAGCATCAAGCGGCAGAGGCTGGATGACGGTGCTCCTGCTTCGGGCACGGCAGGCACGACGACAGGTGGCGACCGCGCTGCCTTGTGCCAGATGTCGCCCCCCCCCGAATCGCACGCAGCGCGAAAAATGTGATCCTCGCCCAACACCAGACACAGAAGGAAGGAATCTGGGTCTCGCCCTTTGGCCAGAGAGAGCAGCAGCCATCCGGTGAACACCATGGCCCCGAGTGCCGCGTCCCATGCCCTCCTAGCCGTTCTAGCTCTGTCTTTGCTGCTGGCAGCCGAGGTGAGGGGGTCCTTTGCAGTGGGCACACGGGCGGACCGTTAACGCGTTCGGCTGCGCCTCCCGCTGAATCGCGCCACAGGCAGCAAAATTGATATTCATCCGTGTATCCCCCCCTGCTACACACAGGCTCGGCCCACCCGCCTGCTGCTGCAAGGTGCGGCAGCGCCGGCGCCCAGCCCCCTGGGCGCACCAACTCCCGCCGAAGCAGTGGCGCCTGCTGGAGAAGAGGCGCCTCCATTTATTGATGCAGGATCGCAGCTTCTGGAATGCGCCCCAAGGAACAAGCCGTGTGGGGCGGCGGCTGGAGGACTGCAGTGCTGCCCCGGTAAGGCGGCTTGGGCCGCTCAGCACTGTTAGTAACCTAACCCACTGCTCTGTTCCTCCAACTTGCTCCACGTCCCCGGTTATTGCAGGAACCAAGTGTGTGCAGCTGGCAATTGATATGCTTACATCGGGCTCCACCACGTGGGTTTGTGTTACTGCTTACGCGCCACCGCCGTCAAAACGTTGATGCCCAGCAGGCTTTTCCCATGCAATTTTGCCGCTTTCCCTGAGTGCACGATGGGCATTGCTGTAAATGCAGTCAAGTGTGTAAGAATGGCGCGAGAGCGCGAGGCATGGGCCATTGCCCGTCAGCACTTCCCGATTGCGGATCTCGCCAGCCCCCCTGCAACCGCGCTGAGACGCTCGCAAGTGTGCCTTTTAGCTTTGGTGATCCGGTCCCTACCAACACACACACAGGGCTTTGAGGGGTGCTGTGATGCATCTGCATGGCGTCGCGGCGGCGGCGGGACAGGCGCGGCGGCCATTGAGTCCATGCCCTAGTGCGAACCCGAAAGTTATAAGCTTTTTTCTGCTGCTGCTGCTAGACAGAGCAAGCTTGAGCTACATCCCTGCTGCCCAACAGGGAGTGCCTTGTCGAGCTGCCGAAGTGCCCGCCGGTGGCCTCCCAGTCGCCTACGCCCGACATGGACGAGCCCGACGCCTCTCGTGACCATAGCGCGTCCTCGGCGGCGCTGGCCGATCGGCCCTCGCCCTTTGCCGACCTGCCGCCTGGGGACGGCCCCCCGCTGCTGACGCCGTCAGACAGCCGTCGGCTGGCGTGGGAGGCGGCTTGGGACAATGACGCCGGCGTGTCCATGATGCTGCCCACCACCATGGCATCAATGGCTGTGACGATGACCCCGATGCCCACCATCCTGGCCCAGCCCTCGCTGGTCCTGGAACCCTCGCTGGAGCAGACGCTCAAGGAGGAGGAGGCGGCGCACGGCGGCGTGGCGGTCTGGGCCCAGGATGCTTGGGCGCTGCTGACCCTAGCGGTCCCATTGGCGGTGAGCCGCCTGCCCAGGCTGTGCGGCAGGAGGCAGCAACCACACCCGCTGGCAGCCCCACCCGACCCCCGTCCCTGCCTTGCGCTGCCCGCAGTTTGCCAACCTGGCAGCCTTCTCCATCAATGCCGTGGGCGTGTCGTTCGTGGGGCGGCTGGGCAGCCTGCAGCTGTCTGCGGCGGTGCTTGCAGCCTCGGTATTCAACGTGACCGGTGGGTGAACCTCCTTGCACCCGCCTGCCCGCCTGCTGGCGGGCTTGCTGTGCTCTCTTCCCCACGACACCCTGGATCCTTCACGCAGGCCAGTGCGTGATCATGGGCATGTGCGGCACGATTGACACGCTGGCAGGGTGAGCGTGGGCAGCTGGATGGATGGGAGGGCGGCAGGAGCGGCGGGCGGCTGCCTGTGCGCCAGCGCTACACCTGCCGCGCTGGCCCTCGTGTCGACCGACCATCCCTGCCTGCTGCCCCACTCGGTCACGCCTGCAGGCAGGCGTTTGGGGCGCGCAACTTCCGGGCGGTGGGCGTGGTTCTGCAGCGCTCGCTGCTGGTCAACCTGCTGTTTGGATGCCTCATCGCACTGGCGTGGCTGCGGTGAGAGCCGGGCCGGCGGGCGCCCCTGCCAGGTTGCTTTGCCAGCAGATTGTCAATCGTGGCTCAGCCTGCCGCCCATGCTGAGCTTCGTGGTGGTGGGCGCTGCAGCTCGGAGCGCCTGTTCCTGGCGCTGGGCCAGGAGGCGGAGCTGTCGGCGGCAGCGGCGCGGTACATGGCGCTGGTGGCCCCCTCGCTGCCCTGCATCGGCGTCTTCGAGGCCTGCAAACGCATACTCATCGTACAGGTGCGACCGTGGGCGTGGGAGCTGGGGGGGCTCAGACAGCCAGGCACGCAGCCCACCCATGGCATGCGCTGCCTCCCCCGTCCTTGCCGCTGCACGCAACGGGAGGCCCTGCCACTTGCAGGGCATCGTGCGGCCCGCTGTGGTGGTGACCCTCATCTCGGCGGCCCTCACCCCGCTGTACAACTGGTTGCTGATCATCACGCTGGGGCTGGGCCTCGACGGCGCAGCGCTGGCGGTGGTGGCGCTGCAGCTGACGTCGGCGGCGCTGCTGGGAGGCTACGTGGTGGTGCGCAACATGCGGTGAGCCTGGCCGGGGGCATTGGCGTGCAGCAGTGCATTGGTGCCGCATCTGCCGACAAGCAAGCCACTCCAGGGCCTGCCTCATGCCCGCAGCCCTGCTGCCGCGGCCCGCCTGCCCCGCCTCCCTGCCGCAGCATGCGTGGCAGGCTGGGGGCGACATGGGACGGCTGGAGCCGGCAGGCGCTGCAGGGGTGGGGGCAGTACCTGACCCTGGCGCTGCCGAGCGTCATCATGATTGGCTGCAAGTGAGCAATGCGGCCCAGTCTGCCCACGGCTGCACCTGGTTTGCTTCTGCATTGTGGGGATAGCTGCTGGCCACCCACCGCCCCATGCGGGTGCAGGTGGTGGAGCTTTGAAAGCCTTCTGCTCATGGCTGGCTGGACGGCGACGGCCAAGCGGGATGTCGCCGTCATGGGCCTCTGCTCGGTGACCAACAGCATCATGTGGGTCCACCGCTGCAGCAGCGCCTGTTGTCTCGGGTTTGTGTGGCCGCGCCGCAAGGATCGCCTCCTGTGCGCTCAGGCTCCCGAGTGTGTAAAGGCACGGAGCTGCTCATGGCAGTGCTGCATGTCCGACCGGCTTCCTTGCCTGCCGGCCGCCCCGCCACCCACTTCCCCCGCGCAGCTTCTCCCTGGTCTTTGGCCTCTCCATCGCTGCCTCTGTGCGGGTCAGCAACGCGCTGGGGGCGCGCTGCCCCGACACCGCCCGGCGAGCCATCCTCGCCGGCTTCGCCATGACCCTGGCGCTGCTGGCGGCCTTTGTCGTGCTGCTCATGACCCTGCAGGTGTGCTGCTGGCTGTGCCGGTGGTGCTGGTGGTGCCGGGCATGCTGCTGCTGCGGCATCTGCTGCTGCTGCCTCACCGCTACCTGCCCGGTTCTTGCAGGACCGCTGGGTGCGGCTGCTGACCAATGTGGAGCCTGTGGTGGCGGCCACGGTGCAGCTGCTGCCCATCTTCTGCGTGTCACTGCTGGGGGACAACGCCAATGTGGCGCTGCAGGCGCTGCTGCGCGGCGCCGGCAAGCAAAAGGTGCGGCGGGTGGCCGGCAACGTTGCTCGCAGCGCCGCTCGTGCCCACCACCTACGAAATAAGGCAGCTCCGAACCTACTCCTGTGGGTTTGGTGTAGACCGCTGGCCTGGGCCGCTCTCTGCCCTGCTCCCCTTCTTTGTGTAGATTGGAGCCATCACCAACGTCCTCTCCTATTGGGTGCTGGCCATCCCGCTTGCCTACTATCTGGCCTTCCCCCGTGGCATGGGGCTTCAGGCAAGCATACCGGCCCATGCCTCGCCACCTCCGCCCCGCATTCTGATGTGCCAGGACTGTGGCGTTTTGCTGCACCCTCTTTACTGTTGCAGGGCCTGTGGTGGGGCACGGCCGCCGCAAACAGTGCAATGGGAGCGTTCATGCTGGTGGTGGTGCTGCGGTTCGACTACGACGGCGAGGCGGCTGCGGCGGTGCTGCGCTGTGCCTCGCGCTCGCTGCGCCAGCCGCTCATGCACCATGTCAGTGCGGCGCACACCAGCCATGGCTGCCTGAGGGACATGGCATGATGAGTATGTGGGAAAATAGATAGTAGTTGGTGCAAGAGACCCATCATAAACAACACAAGTCCCCAGCAGGATGTGAAAATATGAATATTCGTTGAAGTATATGCAGCAGCCGTGGCAGGACTGCCGCACTGCGGGCTGCAGCGTGCCCTCGCACTGGCACATGACGCTGCCTCCTGCCACGGTGCCATCCTACTGGCACTCTGGCATGGTGCGCGCATAGGCTTGGACGTCGGCCTGCACGATACAGAAACACACAGGGGGTGGGGAAGAGCTGTCATGGACTGTCATGGACCGAGGAGCGCTGCAAGAGGCTGTTGTTGAGAATGCTCATGCCTTTGCGCCGCCAACCAGCAGTCACCTTGGCCCAGCCGCCGCCCCGGGCAGCCGCCGAGTCATGTGCTGCAAGAAGGACATCGTAGTCCAGGCCCTCGGCGGCCAGCAAGCAGAACGACTTGCGGATCTGCTTGTCGTCGCAGCTGCAACCGAGCGGGCAGCCACATCGTGTGTGTGGGACGGAGATCAGCTGGGCTGGTGTCGCATGAAGGGTCCCGCTGCACGTCCCTGAGCAGGGCAGGGCGGGGCACAAGGACCAGCAGGCACGCACTTTTCAGGACAGATGAAGTTGGGGCGTCCCCGCAGCGTGATCCCAGGCAGTGATGCCACCGGCTGGTAGGTGGTGACCACCTGCGCCACGGGCAAGGCAAACCAGATGCTGGGTGGGCGGTTGAGCAGCTGGCACCAGAGGCGTTTGGGGCTGGCGGGCTTCACATGCCTGAGACTGACACGCTGCCTCGGCTTGGGTGCTGACGCGACCTGGTGCCCCCGACGAAAGGCACTGCCCCTGCTCGAAAACATCTGCTGCCAGAACCATGCCTCGCGGCGAACCCCACCCACCCTTGGGTCGTTGGCATCGCTGGAGCTGGAGAGGCTGAGGCTGGGCTTGATGAGGGAGATGGCGTCGGCGGCCAGCAGGATGCGGGAGGGTGTGTGCAGCAGGCTGAAGTGGCCGGGGGTGTGTCCGGGGGTGGCCACCCACCGCAGGTCGCTCAGCCCATACTCCCGCAGGTCTGGCACAGACAGATCCAGGAGGCGCGCCCGGGGCGCCGGCACCTGCAGGCAGGCAGGCAGCTTGGTCGACGTCGAGAGGTTGGCGTGGCAGCGGGGCGACGAGCTCGCCATGTGAGCGGCAGCGAGGGAGCAAGCAGCAAGGATGAGGAGCTGGAGGAGAGGACGGGACTGCTGTGCCCCCTGGCACGGCCCGCCTCCCCGCCTGCGCCCGCCGGCCCCACGCGCCACAACTTGCCTTGACCGGCCCCTCCTCGCTCTCCAGCCCCGTCCAGCGCAGGCAGCGTGCGTACAGGCTGTCCTTGGCGGCGTACCGCCTGTCGCCCACCAGGAACGGCTCCTCGGCGGGGTGCATCACCACTGGGGTGTCTGGATAGGCGGCCATCAGCAGCGGCACAGCACCAACATGATCGAAGTGGCCGTGAGTCACTGCAAAAACGCACAGGCAGGGATGCGGTCTGAGGGAGCTGCTGAACTCACCGCGGTGGCAACTCGCAGTGCAGCAATGCATCCCCCATACCCCCGCTCACACACGATGGCAGCCAGCACGTCTCCTGCTGGAATGGTGGCCTGAACCGCCGCCACCAGCCGCTCCGCCAGCGGCTGGAGCGCCCCGCTCGTGGGCACCCCTGCATCTATCAGCGTCCAGTTGCCGCTATGTCGCACCAGATTGACCGTGACGGGCATGCCGGGCAGGAAGGGCAGCAGGTGCCAGACCTCGGTCAGGCTGCATGGAAGGAAGCACAGGCGCAAGGGGGCGTCGGAAGCCAGGGCGGCCGCTCACCGACACTGGCGTGGGGGTGGGGGGGGTGAACAGCGGCGGCCCTCGATCCGTCCCCACATTGCGCACCTGTACAGATTGTCTGTCACTTTGACGAAATTGCGGGGTTTGGGGAAGGTCTGGGTCGCAAGGTAAGCAACCACACCTCCCAGGGCGGCGGCCAGGAGGGGCCCCTGGAGCCTCATGTCGCCGGCGCTGTGTCAGTAGGTGCTAGCACAAACGGACGCCGCCGATGGTGACTGTCAGTCGTACTGCAAAGGACATTGCGGCGCCGACGTGGCGGGGCGGCAGCATGCTAGGGGATCCTAGGCTGGCTTCTCCAGACAATAGCTCCCATTCTGCGCTCCACTCCAGACTATGACACCCATTCTATACCTCCCATTTTGCATTCCCAACAGTGATTACAATCCAAACTCACTAGCTATATTTTGAACCTATCCGCATGGTATTGCCAGAACTTCCCAGCCAGCAAGCCTGCCTCGCCGCCACTGCGCTCCAGCTCAGGCAGGCCACCTTTGCTGAAATCCCGCTCAGCCACATTTCCATCGCTGTTGCCGGTGACCAGGACACCGCCTCGGCAGGCCAGCGCAGTGACCCCGGCCCAGCCGCGGCGGTACTGGCGCTGCGGTGGCTGCTGACTGGATCCTGCCGCACCCTCCTGCCCATCGTATGCTGCTGCTGAAGCTGCGCCTTGCGGTCCGCCTGGTTCTGCTTCCGCCGCTGCCTGCTGCTCCTCGCTGCCACCAGGCCCGTCGGCTGGCGCGCCGCTGCTGCTAGGCGGTGCAGCTGGGGGCAGGCAGCTGTCCAGCTCGGCCAGGCACTCCCCGCTGTCGCTGCACCACACACGCACCGGGGCCTCTCCGTTGCGGTCTGTGGCGGTGACCACTTTCAGGCGGTCCACGTGGATTGCGGTGACCTGCAGACGGAGGCAGGGGGGTGTTCCAGGCATCAACAGCCTTGCCAGGCTACTGGCAGCATGGGTCAAGGGTTCGAGAGCCAGGCAGGGATGCAGAGCAACAGCACCCGACGACCGACCTCCCAGGCCCGCCCACGCCAGCAGGCTCCTCACCGGCCGTGCATGCCCTGCCAGACGCAGCCGCTCGGGCAGGTCCCTACTGCTGCCGCCGCCGCTGCTGCCAGAAGAGGTGGCGCCGGCAGAGGAGGAAAGCACGCGCAGGTCGTATACTCTGGCGCCGTCGCTGCTGCCGACCGCGAGGTTCCAGCCATGCTGTCCAAGGCAGTGCACCTGCTCCGCTCTGTCGGGTGGCAGGGCCACCGCCGCCACCGCCTTCATGCAGCGCAGGTCCAGCAGCTGCGCCCCGCTGCCACCAGACACCAGCAGGCCGTGCGGCTGCAGCGCGGGGCAAGCCGCCACAGGCTGCATGGCTGCCACCGGCGCAGCGCACTTGGCTGTGCCGGTGCAGGCCGCGGTCCATGGGTCCCACGCCTTCACCCGGCTGTCCAGGCTGCCGCTGAGCAGCAGGGCGCTGCCACCGCCAGACTGCCAGACTGCCATGGCCAGGCAGGTGATGGGGGCGCCGTGGCCCCGCAGCGTGGCAATCTGAGGCTTCTGCATTCGCAGCGCAGCAGGACGGCCACTGTCTGCTTCCATACCCACCTCCCCGGCATCGCACAGCATCCCCATGCCGAGCCCAGCCAGCACACCCACCTGCACAGGCGAGGCCAGCAGCGGCGCCAAGCCCCACAGGCGCACTGTGCGGTCCTTGCCTCCTGTGGCCGCGATGGTGACACCTGCACAGCAACCAGCAGGAGCGGAGGAATGAATGCGGCAAGGCTGGATGTGCACCTGCCCCGGCTGTTTGTCAAAGCATGAGGCGGCGTCGGTTCGGTACCATCCCGCCACTCCACGCGCCTGTGCTGCCCGCCACCAGCTGCAGGCTGGTCACAGCTTCCTGGTGGCCTCTCAGCGTGCGAAGCGGGGTCAGCAGGGTCAGCGGCAGGCGGTGTGAGTCGTTGGGTGCGGCCTGCCCGTAATAGTAGCTGGCTGCTGGATCCACATTGGCGGACCACAGCCTGCAGAAGGCAGCCAATACTTATAAGCATGCAGCGTGCGCTGCAGGGTTTCCTTTGCCAAAGGACATGAAAAGCTGGGCAAACAACTGGCGGCAAGCTCAGCACGTGGCGGCGCGTCGTCCCTTCATGCTCCCAGCCCCCTGCACCCCCCACCCACACACACACACCTGATCGTCTGGTCGTGGGAGGCTGTCACTATGCCTGCCCGGCGCACCGCACCACCCAGATCCAGCACAGCGGCTGCGCTCACGCGAGCACTGTGCCCGTAGCACTGTATCGAGCGGTCTGGGGCCAGCCGGCCCGGCGATGGCGTGCACCGCATCTCCAGGGTGCCTCCCTGCGCCGCCAGCGTGAGGCGGCGGGCGCCGCTGCCGTGCAGGGAGACCAGGTGCACTGGCGTGGTGTCAGTGGTCCATTCGCGGCTGGCGGGGCCGGTGGAGCGCAGCTGCAGGGGCGGAGGCGTGGCAGAGCAGCGGCAAACATGTGTGTGTTCCAGCAAACCCTGCGGCTCCCCACCCTTCGCCAGTGCATGTGGCAACCGCCTCGCTGAAGACAACGCCAACCCACGTGCCTGCTGGCAGGCTGTGTGCGTCCTGAGGAACATGTCCCGCCAGGTGCCAGGCGCCACACCCCCGCCGGCTCCGCCATGCTGCTGCAGAGACGCTGGGGGCTGCGTCAGGCGCTGCCACGGCTCGGGGAACTGGCGGGCGTACAGGCTGCAGCAGGGAGAGCAAACACAGGTGTGCGGTCGGCTTCCTGCCTCCTCCAGCTGGCTACGTAACACCAACCACTGATGTCAGCTCACCTGCTCCACAGGCGATCGTTGCTGGCCACGGCATGCCGCAGCGCAGCGCAGCTGGAGGCCAGCGCCGCCACCTCGTCGTGCTGTAGATGCTCGCAGACGGCGGCAAAGCCATCCGGCTCCAGGCTGCCGAGAGCGCAAGCTGGTGGGCTGGTCGCCTCGGGGCCATCAGGCGGGCTGCAGGGATTTGGGCACACCGGGATTACGCGTGTATGAGCCTCGCTGGCTCCAAATCCGCTCTGTAAGTTGAGTCGAGTCACGGCAGCGGCGGCAGCGGCGGCGGCGCCACAGCGCACGCCACAGGCGGCGCCTGATCACGGGTTCCCAGACGCTACTTACACTGCATTCGACATCGCCTATGCTGTTAGAGGCCTTGGCCGCTGCTCATTTCTGCTTCTGCAAATGCAACTGGCGCGCAGGCTCTCTCGGCAGGGCCGCACAGATTGCCGGTGATAACGGGTACACAATGAGCATCGCCAGACCCACCAATTCCCCCGTTTCCAAACTCGCCTGTACTGCTGGCCAGGGCGGCACAAATCACCGCGCACGGGGCACCCTCGCCCGATCGATCTGTCACGAGAATCGATGTGGCGAGGGACCACCAGGGCGCTGTCGGCGCTCTCTCCCTCCGCCATCGGTCTGAGAGCAGCGCTTGCCCCTCGGTGCGCTTCCACCGTAGTGGCATCGGCCCGCATCAGCCACAAAGTCAGCAAGGTGCGATTGACGTGCTGGTCGTGAGTGCTGCCGCTGCCGCCACGCCTGCCGCCAGTCGACACAGTGCCGCCAGGCCACGCCAGCGCTTTGCATCCACAGTTCCCTGGTGGCCTCTTGAACCTTACCCCAGGATGTGGCCGAGTACTGGCAGCGTGTGCTGGACACGAGCGTGGACAAGACGACGGCGCGGGCGCTGCTGCCCAACCTGGATGTGCAGCAGGTGGGTGGGTGGGTGGGGCCCTGCTAGTGCTGGCAAGGTCTGTCGGTGCCTGTGTGCAGTGTGTGATTGCATGCTCATGCGCAGTGCCGATGCTGTCTGCCTGCATGCGGCGCATGACGTGCATGCATGTGGGGGCGCCTGTCCGCAGGTCCTTGGATTGAGGGTGCCGGCAGAGGGGGAGGGTGCCGCGGCCGAGGGCAGCAGCGAGGATAGGTCGCCGGCACCGGCGCCGAGGGTGCGCCGCGGGCCCGCCTTTGGCGGCAGCAAGCGGGGGCGGCCCCCTCTGCACTCCTACTTTGCCAGTGTGAAGAAGCAGTACCCCAAGTATGTGACGCTGGTACGGGTGAGTTTCCTGGCAGCTGCCCCGGGGTGGGGTGCCCGTCTCTGCTGCTGCTGCGAGTTTTGGCATGCCTCGCTGGTGCAGGCCAGCAGCCCAGCGCTCGTCCCCGGCTGCCTGGTGGCTGGTCGGCGGCCTCCCCACCCAGCGCTGGGCTGCTGCCGCTGCTGCCACGGTCTGTTGCCACCCCACCCACCCACCACTCGCACCCACCACACACTCCCCTACTCCTTAAGCTGCAGGTGGGCGAGTTTTACGAGACCATCGGCATTGATGCGGTGCTGCTGGTGCAGCACGCGGGGCTGAACCCCATGGGCAGCGGCGTGACGCCGCGCGCGGGCTGCCCGCGCCAGAACCTGCGCCGCACGGTGGACGACCTCGTCAGCGCGGGGCTGTCGGTGGTGGTGTGCGAGGAGGTGGGCAGGAGTGGGGTGGTGGCAGGTGGCAGGGGCTGGGTGATCGGGTGGCGAGGAGGGGGGCGTTGGCGTGTTGTTGCCACCCCACCCACCCACCCACCCGCCTGCCTGCCTGCCTGCCCTGCCTGCCCGCCTGCCCTGCCTGCCCTGCCCCCAGGCACCTGAGCCCTACTCCTACGGCTCCATGCGCACCCGCCAGAAGCAGCGCTACGTGGCGGCGGTGGTGCGCCTGCCGCCGCCAACTCCGCCCCCTCTTTGCCCCCGGCTGCCCCTGCGCTGGTTGCGCTGGCAAAGCTGCGCGCAGCTGCGTGCTTTCGCATGGCATGCCTCAACCTCGCCGCTGCTTTGCCGCCTGCCCGGTGGCTGCCGCAGGTCACTCCCGCCAACCCCCACCTGCTGCACGGGCTAGTAGATGACGACACAGGCAGGCTGGAGAGGGGTCAGGGGAGGGGCAAGCCACAGCAGCAGCAGCAGCAAACAGCACTGGGTTTGTGTTGTTGTGTCTATCTTGCGCTCGCTCACAATCACTCCACAGCCCCACCAGCCTGCCCACCCACCTCCCTCGCCTGCAGACATAAACATAGACGCCGCGCCGCCCCTGCTGGCCCTTGTTCCTCAAGTGAGTTGGGGAGGGCCGTTGGTCTGGCTGCCCTCGTGCCAGCTAGCCAGCACCCGGCGGGCCAGCAGGTGCTCTGCACCCGCCTGCCAACAGCCGCCCCTGCCTGTTGCAAATCTCGGGCGGCTTTCTTCCACATGCCTGCTGCCGCCCCTGCCGCTGTCCTGCCACCCCCTGCGTGCTTGCCGCAGGTGGGCGGGTACACGGTGCTGGAGGTGAGCGTGGACCTGCAGGTGGTGCAGGTGATGGAGGGGCTCACCGAGGACGCCGTGTACGCGCGCCTGCACGAGGGTGGGTGCCACGTGGCGGCGGCTGGTGTGGCGGTGGTGCTGTGTGGGCGGGTGCAAGGGTGAGGGTGCAGTGCGCCCTTGACACATCGTGCCTGACAAGCCTGGCCCCATCCCTGGACCCCACCCCGCGCGCCGCTTCTGGCGCAGGCGGGCTGGCGCCGCCGCTCTTCCTGCACGTCCCCGCCTCCTCCGCCTCCTCCGACCGCCGCCTGAGCGAGGGCACGTTTGAGCGGGAGTGGGAGCAGCGGGTGGCAACCATCTTCCGCTCGCAGGTGGGTGCGGTGCAGGTGGACGCAGGCTTTGGGTAAAGGACGCACTAATGCGGTGTAGTGGGTGTGGGGGCTGGGGCATGGGAGGGCCCCTATGCGGCGAGCGCAAAGGGTGCTCAAGCTGCCCTCCGCCACCACCCGCCTGCCCATGCCTGCTTCGGTACAGGTGGGCGTGGTGGAGCGGTACAACGACCCCGACTGGCTGGAGGGCCTGCTGACCCGCGTGCGCCTCATGCTGGGCCTGGACGCCGCCACGCCCTTCACAGTGGTGAGCAAGCGGCTGCCCGCCTGCCAGCAGGTCCCTTGGGGCGGGGAAGTGCGGCGAGGGCAGGCAGACTGGGTGGTGAGCACCTGCAGCTGGCCCTTGCCTGTCCTCCCCACACGCGTGCAGATCCGGGCCTCCACCAAGGACCGCCCCCGCCCCCTTTACTACTCCACCGCCCTCAACCTGGGTCTGCACAAGGCACGCGGCCAGCCCTGCCTGGTGGACTATCTGCTGCCAGACGGCACCCCGCTGCCTGCGCGGCGCTGGATGCGCCGCCTGCTGCTGCTGCCGCCGCCGGCCACCACCGCGGCGGCGGTGCACCGCGTCTGCCGCATCCTGGCGGGTGCGTCCCCCTCCCTTTAAGCCCGCCTGCCCCTCCCTGCAAGCAGCTACGACCTGGGGGTGGTGTGCTGTGCGGTCCCACTGTGCTGCCCCACGCTTGCCCGCAGACCTGCGCGAGAGCCTGCCCGTCTTCCCGCTGGTGCCCGCCGCCAGTGTGGTGCTCAAGCTGCGCAACCGGGAGGCGAACGACACCTTCTTTAGAGAGGTGTGCGGTGGGCTTGGGCTCACAGCCTCGGGTGGCCAATGCAGGCAGGGGAGCTGCGGCATCTGTAGCTGCTGATGTGTCTTGTACCGCCGCCGCTGGTGCAGATTGGGGAGCTGTGCCAGGCACTCCTGGTGAGCCCAGCAGCTGCCTGGCCCAGGCAGAAGCTGCCCTTGCCCCCCCTGGCCCAGCAGTTGCCCGCTGCGCGTGTTGCTGGACCTGCAGCTGCGCCCAGACGCTTCTCCTCTGGTCCAGGGCAGCTTGGCAGGTGGCGCTCCCAGGGGCAGCGGATGCCTGTCACCTCCTCACGCTGTGTGTGCCGCCGCAGGATCTGCTGTCCCGTACCAATGGCGAGATACCGGTGCTGGCATCCAGCCTGCTGGAGGTGTCGTGCCGGGAGATGGGCGTGGCGCTGACCAGGGAGCAGCTGCAGCAAGGCTGCGCCACCGCGCTGCAAGCCATTCACGAGGGTAAGCGAAACGGGAAGGATAGGCAGGCCGCAGTTCCGCAGCTCTGCGGCGTCCACTGCACTGTGCAGACGTCTGCGAGTTGTGTGCAGCAGCAGGGCAGCTCAGGCAGCGCTCACGACAGAGGTGCTTGATGAATGGCCGCCCCACCTCACCCTAAACCGTGCAGTGGTGGACCACGACACGCAGCTGGTGGGGGGCGACCCCGAGTGGCCGCCAGAGCTGGAGGACTGCTGCGAGGATGTGCGGGAGGGGCTGTGGCGCCTCAAGCAGGTGTGTTCTGTGCAGCCTCTGGGCAGCTTGGTCGCCGTGTGCCGCTGCCGCGATAGCTTGTTGACTGGCCGGGCGGCTGCGAGTCGAGCACAAACGCGTGCCTGGCCCACAGGCGAATGAGGGCCCCTTCCGGGGCAAGGTGCGAGATGAAGTGATGGCGGAAGACTGCGAGGCGGTGAGTGGGCACCCAGCCTTGCCTGGCCCATCCCACATCTGCACAGATGAGCCGCATGAGCTGACCTCCGCCCCTGGCCGCCGCCGCCGCCACCGCCGCCGCCCGCAGGTGGCCATGGCAGCAGACCGAGTGCGGCGCGAGCTGGAACTCGCCTTTGAGCCGCTGCTGCTCGCGCACACGCGGGTGGGTGCGCTGCCACCTCGCCGCCCCTGCCTATCCTCCTCTCGCTCCTGCTGTGTGCGCACACCCTGCTGCGATCACCCGCACCACCCAGTGCCTCTCCAACTTCTGACCCCCCCACCTGCCTTCTGGGCGCAGGCTGGCGAGCCTGCCAAGCTGAAGCCCTCCATCATCTATGACTCAGCCAACAACGCCCTGTGGCTCAGGATACCCAAGAACGCAGGTTAGCGGGATGGATTGATGTAGGGGATGCGGAGCGCAGCTTGGGGCAGTGCGAGTGACAGCAAGCGGCCTGTTGCCGCCGCCTGTCGGCCATCAGTCGCGGGTGCTGCTTGCACCCGCCTTGCCTGCAGCAGCCCAGCAAGCAGCCGGGGACCTCATCCACCCTCACGACCGCAACGGCAGGGTGGGTGCGCTGATGCCTGCCTGCCCTCTGCCGCCATCTCAAGCTCCGCCTGCTGCCACGCTTCCTCATGATACGATGCGTGTTCCCCCCGATGAGCATGTGTTGCTGCTGCTGCCTTACATCTGTGCCTGCTCTTGCTGTGCAGCTGGAGTCCTCAGCCTATGCCAGCCATGGCCTGCAGTCTGCCCTAGACGACTACCGCCGCGCCTGCTACGACTCTGCCGCTGCCGTGCGCAGGCACCTGCGGGAGCTGGCCAGCCAGCTGCAGGTGGGGTGGAGCGCCTGCGGAGTTTCACTGATTTTGTGTAGCCTGCAGCTGCTTTCGTGTGGCTATCGTTGCCGGCTGAAGGCTCGGCGCTTGGCCTTCCTCCGCGCGAGCTTGGCCCTTGCCAACGAGTGCAGGCAGTGAACACGGAGCTGGTGTGTGCCGCCACCATGGCAGTGTCCGCTGCGGCGCTGGATGCCCACACCCGCGAGGCGCTGAGGTGAGGAGCGCCCTTCGTGCTGGCCAGTAGGTGGGCCGTGGCACACCTCTGCTCTCCGTTCCGCACCTCTCCTGCCTGAGATGAGAGGGGACGGGGCTGGTGCCTCGACACACAATGGCGCGTGTGATGCACCCCTGGCGGCCTGGTGCGCAGGCGGGGCTGGCATCTCCCCACCCTGGCCTACACTTCCGACGGCAGCGGCGCCCCGGCAGCCCTGCCCACAGCTCAGGAGGGCTCCCAGGCTGCCCTGCCCGCCGCTCAGGACGCCTCCCAGCAGCAGCCCTTTGAGGTTGTAGATTTCTGGTGAGCTGGGAGCTGTCCAGCGGCAGTGCCGATGTGCACTTGGTGTCTGTTGAGAAGCAGCTCGGAGCGGAGGGCTTCCCCTCGCCTTCATTGGCTGCTTTGTGTCGCCCGCCTGTGAACCTGCGCCTGGCCCTGCAGGCCCTACTGGCTGGATGGCTGGGAGACTGCCACTGTGCGCAACACGCTGAGCCTGGAGGTGGGCTCTGGAGCAGCACCTCGTGCCACCTCTGAGCAACAAGCCGGCGCCGGTGCTCGCCGCGCTGCTCGCCACCACCACTGCCTGGCAGGCTTGACCTTGCCGCTGCCCCGGCCCCCGGCCCCTCCCCTGCCACTGCTACAGGGCATGGCGCTGCTGACGGGTCCCAACATGGCCGGCAAGTCAACCGTCCTGCGCTCCATGTGTGCGGCGGCGCTGCTGGGCGCCTGCGGCCTCTACGCGCCCGCCGCCTCCGCCACCGTGCCATACTTTGGTGGGTGTCTTCGTGGTGTGGCGGGCGTGGTGGTGGCGACCCTGCGCCTGCTTCACGAGCTCCTCTCCTTCCCCCATGCCTGCCAAAGCTGCCCTGCTGGCGTACTTGCATTCCTCTCCCCGTGCGGCCCCGCCACCACCACACCCGCGCTCCGCCCGCAGACGCCTTCATGCTGCGCACCTTTGCCTCCGACTCGCCGCTGGAGGGGCGGTCCTCGTTTGCGGTGGAGATGACGGAGATGCGGTGAGGGGGCAGGGAGCGGCGGTGGTGGTGTGTGGGTGTGTGTAGGGGTGGGGTAAAGTCGCCTCCATCTTGGTGAACAGCCCCATCCATCTGCGAGAAATCACCGCCCTCCCGCTGGGCTGCAGGTATGTGCTGGAGGATCTGTCCCCCAGCTCCCTGGTGCTGGTGAGCGGCGCCCCGTGGGCCTGCCCGTCTGCAGGCCGTTGACCAGCCCGGCGGGCTGCGGCGGCCTGGCTGCGAGCTGCGGGGTTGGCCTGCTGGCCGCCGCCTGCGTGCTGCCCGCTCACCTTTCCCGCCTGCTGCGCCCGCCCGCTACCCAGGTGGATGAGCTGGGCAAGGGCACCGAGGTGCGGGCGGGGTCGGCGCTGGCGGGCGCCCTAATGGAGGAGCTGGATGCGGCGCGCTGCCGCGGCATCTTTGCCACCCACCTCCACTCCCTGGTGGACATGAACCTCAAGTCAGTACGGGGTGGCAGGGGTGGCAGGGATGCAGGGCTTGGAGGGCAGGAAAGACCTGCGTTGGACGGCAGCTTGGCTGCGGGCTGCCGGTTTGGTGGGAGTCTCGGCGATGCCGCCACCCCGACAACAGTCCCTCGTCTCTCGCGTGCTGGCCCATGCCGTGCCGCGCCGTGACCCGGGGCCCCGCCCTTGCCGCGCGTGCAGCCTGACCAACACCGAGTTCCTGATGATGGAGACTGCGCCGGCTGAGGAGGAAGACGAGGAGGTGCTTCGGCCGCTGCTGATGGCAGGGCTGGAGGAGGGCGGCCGCCAGCGCTCCGGCGCCGGGCGGGCCAGCAGCGGGGGAGGCGCCTCCGGCCAGGGCGCGCCTCGCAAGCCCACCTGGCGCATCGTGCCGGGCATCAGCACCGTGAGCCTGGCGCTGGATGTGGCACGCCGGTGCCGCCTGCCGCGCCGTACCCTGGACCGTGCGGGGCAGCTGTACGGCCAGCTGGATCCCATGGTGGCACGCCCAGAGGTCAGCGCCAGCCCTGCCGGGGCGGAGGCGCAGCAGCCTGTAGATGCAGCAGCAGCTGGAGCAGGTGGAAGCAGCCCACTCCGAGGCAGGGCCGCACGGATGGCCAAGCCGAGGGCCAGCCGTTCTGGGGCCGGCAACGGGAGCAGTGCCGACAGCAGCCCCTGGACGCTCGCGGCGGCAGCCAGCACGCTGCAGCAGGTAGCTCAGGAGTCTCTGGCTAAGTGCACCGCGGAGGCGTCCAGCGAGGGCGCAGGGCAGGAGGCGGCGCAGCAGCTGCAGGTGGCGCAGGTGAGACGAGGCATGTTCTCTAGCTGCCTCACTGCTTTGTGCTGCTGCCATGCGTGGTTATCTTGACACCAGTGCCAGCACAGCATTATGACGTGTGCCTGCCCAATCTGGGTTCATTTCCTGCAGTACGTGCTGCGCGGCCAGGCGCCCGCCCCCTCCACCGTGGGCACCTCCTGCGTGTATGTGCTGCGCCGCCCCGACGGCTTCTTCTACGTCGGCTCGACAGACAGCCTGTACGACCGCATCCGAGCGCACCGCCAGGCACGCCGACGCGCGTGCCTGCTGCCGCTGCTGCTGTGCACAGCGCAGAGGGCAGCCAGCCCCCGCCCTTGACAACCCAAGCTGCTGAGGCTGCGTTGGTCATGCTGCGTGTTGCTGGTGATGCCATGCTGCCTGCAGCGTACGGGGCATGGCGGGCCCAACATGGACCTTGTGTATTGTGTGCTGGGGCCGGGCGCCGCTGGGCTTGGTGAGCGCGGTTCTGTTTAACAAAGCATGCTGGGGTGTGTGTGGAGCTTGGTGGGGTGCTCTACCGATGCTGCCCGCTGATGCTGATGCGCCTCCGTGCATGCCACGCTTGCAGCCAAGGCAGTTGAGAGCTGCGTGATCCGGGAGCTGCAGCGCCGCGGATTCCCCATGCGGTCGGCCACAGACGCACGGCGCCGGCACGTGGCGGGTGCTGGCAGCGGCGGCAGCAGAAGTCCTGCGGAGAGTGCAGCTGCTGCTGGCAGCTGAGCTGGGGAACGTGCAGGTTTGGGGCTGATGTTGCCGCCAAAGTAGCCCTGGATTGCCCATCGACATGGTTATGGATATCCCGAGGTGGCATGCCAACGCTTGGTGTAATGTCTGTTGGTTACACGGCCTCTTTTCCTGCCAAAATGTCATGTGACAACAACCCCCACAGCACCATTGCATATGTCGGTGCTCCAGCCTGTCAGTCCAGGAACCAGCGGCTGTCCCCACCAGGCATGTGCCGCATGTCCTCGGTGGCAACCACAAGCGCAGCTTCGTTGGCTACCTGCGGCAGACAGTCTGGCTGCAAGCTCAGCAAGCCGACCCAGGACAGCGAGGTCCACCGCGGACGTCTGCACAAGTTCAACCACTTATTCAACTTCTGCTCAGATTTCTCTACCACAAAGGGTGCTTGCCAACCTGCAGCAATGATGCTCACCTCCCTGATGCGGCGCATCATGTCGTGATGCTCGTGCCAGCTGGCATACACGTCAGCTGGGGGCGGCCGCCCAGGCAGCACATGCTGTTGCCACAACCGGCTGATCACTGCAGCAGGGTTGAGAAGCAGGCGCTGGGGTGACATCCTACTGATGCACTTGCTTGAAAGAATGTCGCCAGCCTGCAACCTGCCATCACCTAGCAACATGAGGCGCAGCAGCTCGTCATCTCTCTGCATACGGAACACCCGCATGCCCTTGGTGGCTGACCGGCTGACTAGTAAGCCGCTACGGGTGCCTGCGGAGTGGATGATGGGAAAGCAGGAGGCAGTGGTGTAGAACACCAATAGACTGACCGACAAACAGCGGGCAGCAGTGTACGGCTGGGTGGCACCACAACAAAGCGCCACTATCAACGTGTGCAGGTAGCCCTGGCTCCTCACCCGCACACAGCATGTGCAGCTGCAGCTGCGGCACCCACTCCGGCGGCACTGCTGTCCGCGGGCCGCGGTCAGCAACTGCAAACTCATTTGTGCGCAGCCGCCCGCCCCTGCATGGCAGGAGCATGGGCATGAGATGGGCTCTCACAGCAGCGCGTTGCGTACATGCTGCCAGCAGCAAGCGTCAGGTATGCAACCCAGCAAACAATCCACACTGCTTTCAACCAACCTGCGCGAGTGGCCAAAGGGGCAGGTATTTTTCACTTCAACCACTTCAATCTGCAATCCAGCACTGCTGCTGTTGCTGCTGCTGCCGCTGTTGCTGTCGCTGCTGGCCCCGCCTGCTGCAGCCCCTGTGCTCGCCAGCTGCAGGTGGGCCAGCAGGCTGTCAATGTGCCCTGGCGATTGAGGCTGTGATGCTTGCTGCAGCTCCGAGGTGCCACCATTGCCAGCTGCTGGAGGTGCCGATACTGTCGCTTGCAAGCTAGGCATTGGCGTCTGTCCATGCCGTATGAGGGCATCTGGAGAAGCACCGATGGGTGGCAGGCTGCCAGGCGCAAAGCCCCAGGATGCAGGCAGCATGTGTTGCTGCAAGCGGCAGAGCCCAACCTGCAAACCAATCAGCCAGCAGGACAAAATTTGAAAGGCGGATGCAGCTGACAGGAAGCAGGAACAAGGTGTTCGCCAATACACCAGGACGCCGCGGCGACGCACCTCTGCCAGCTGGCTCTGCGGGAATGCGGCCGCCACCTGCAGCAACGCGGCCGCCTCTTGCGTCTTGCCCCACGAGCAGCAGATCGACAGCAATCCTGCGAGCGGGGACAACGGGTGGTGGTGGGTGTGCAGAGCACGGCAGACTTGTTGTACTGATTAGCGATGCATTGCGTGCATGCCAAACAACGTCCCATCTTTTCCTCCCACCTAGGCTGCTCAACGTCCGTGCCTTCTTCAACTTCTGCTCCTCGCTCACAGCGCCACAGCAGCCTCCGCCTGGCCCCCGTCCTGCCGCTGCTACTGCTGCTGCCTCTGAATGCAGGAGTGCTGCTGCCGCCTTCGCCGCATGCTTCTTCTGCCGTCGCCTTGCATGCCTGCTCATGCTGGCCCCAGCCCCAGCAGCGGCATGCTCTCCTGAGGCTGCTGCTGCCACTGCTTGTATTGTGGGAGATGAGACGTTGGCCCTGCTTGCATCCTGTACGACGTTTTGTCTCCTCGCTGCCGCCGCATGTCCTGCTTCCTGCCCCTTGGCAGCATTGTACGCCACCACCGCTGCTGCATTGTGGGCTGCTGCCGCGGCCGCCATGGCCGTGTCGGGACTGCTGTCGGCTGCGTGGTGGCGCAGGTGGTGGTAAGCCCGAAGCAGCTCGCCGTGTCCCGCCCTGCAAGGTAGCAGGTGGAGCAAGTGCGTGGCGTGCGGGCAGTTGAACGCTCAACACGTCGCATGCATGAACATGAGGCACACCATTAGATGTTGTGAGCTGCATGCCAACAAACACGATACCAGCCACGGCATGCCACAGTCGCAGCGCGGCGCTTGCCTGCCACTCGGAATGCCCATCTTCTTGGCAGCCGACTTTTCGTGAAGCCCCAATGCCGCACGCACCAACCCTGCGGTCAGGCACTCCCACACAAGCATATGTGCTGCCAGTCTGGTGCCCAGCAGCCAAACACGCCAGTCCATGTTCCTCCTGCCCTGTCCTCCTTCCTGCCCGCCAGTCTCCCTGGCCAGGCCCGCCCCGCCTTACCGGAGGTCAGAACGCCCTCATGCAGCTGATCCCACAACGGATCGTCCTGGCGGACATATCTGCACCAGCAGCATGTCCAGGGTGGTTGACTGGCTTGGGGCGGCTGCTTGAACGAAGCCGGCGTGCCGGCAGGCGGCGCACCGATGAGACTCGGGGCCTGCCAAGACTAGGTCCTCCATTGGCGGCAGGGCCTCCAACGCCACCCTGGGATCCTCCCTGATCTGCTGCATGGGTGGGCCGAGCCTGTAGACGTTTGGCAGCCGCCCCCACTCCCTCTCCAAGGCTCGGATGCTCGGGCCCACCGTTGGCCTTGCCCCACCTGCTGCTGGCATAAAGTAGGGCATCAATTGAATTGATCGCCGTCCTTCATCCATTTGCATCTTGTCTTGAGGGTTCCTTCTCCTGCCCCGGCCCAGCTGGCACTCTCGCCTTGGGCTGGATGGAGGCAACCCTCAGGGCAACACATCAGACCGACGCTGGGACTTCCAGTGCTGGCGGCCGTCCTGGCAGGCGGGCTGCCCTTTGAGAAGGCACTCCTGTGCCATCCACGGCAGTGGTGTCTTTGCCCAGCCACTGGCGGCACTCTTCGACAGCCCCAGCGGCGCGTGTGGCAAGCCCGCAGCTTGCTGCACCGCTCTTTACTCCAGCAAGCTGGCTCTCCACAGGTGAGAGCGCCCCCCCCGAGGGTGCGGCGAGCCCCTGCAGCGAGTGCAGGCATACACAAGCACACTGCAAGCCACGGGCCGGGGACAGGGAGGCGTAGGGCAGGGGATTTGCAGTAGCGGCAGGGGGCGCCACGAGCCGGCCCGCCACCACCGCATTTGCTGGCCTGCATTTGCACTGCCAGTCGCCAGCAGCTTGCGCTGGTTGCCGTCATTGAGCGTGCGGCTGCGGGATGCTGTTGCGCAGCCTGTTTGGCACAGCCAGGCCGCCCACATGCATTTCATCACAGCAGCCGGCAGCGGGGGACGGCGGACCACCTCCCCACCCTCTCTCTTGCCCACAGCGCCGGGCACAGGGGAACCACTAATGAACGAGGATGAGGCGAGGCTCAATCATCCTCACCTCCTGTTTTTTTCTGTTTTACCTGCATCCTTTGTCGCTAATGCGCGCTCACTGCCCTGCCGTGCTCTGTGCGCAGGCTGTTTACACGTCTGCTGCTGTGCGCCCACGTGTTCTGCCTTCTGTCCGTGCTCAGCGGCATGGCAGCGGCGGCGCAGCCCGACCAGGAGAGCCAGGCAAGTCGGGGGCGCCCGTGCAGGCAGGCAGGCAGGCAGTTGCCGGTATGCAGCCAGACCGGTGGTACTGAGCAGTTCGTGCTGCCCGCCTTCTTCCCTCTTGCCCCCTCCTGCTTGCTTGGAGGTATCGCGGCTGCCCACATGCCGCCGCCCCTGCTGGCCGCCTTGCAGTGCATGGATCAGCTGCTGAAGGACCTGGCGGCGCCTGGTGGCGCCACCGCCGGCGACGCGGCCAGCCCCTTCAAGGCCTTCGCCCGCCGCGCTCAGCTGGTCATCACCGGGCTGGTCCACATCAGCGTGCTGCTGCTGCCACATCAGCACGACGAGGCCGGCAGCAGCTCCGCGGCCGCCAGCGCCAAGGCGGGCAGCAGCGGCGGCGCCAAGGGCTCGGCGGGCAGCGCGGGCAGCAGCAGGGCGGCGGGCAGCAGCACAGGCAACGCCGACGCGGCCGCCGAGCTCGCGGCAGCGGGCTTCCCTTCGGACGGCTCAAACCTCGAGGAGTGGCAGCGGGTGAGGGCAGCAGGGTGCACAGCGGCGTGGGCATGCCTGCCTGTGCAGCCGCCTGCCCCATCTCGTGCCCAGCTCATCGCCCTGCCTCTGGGGGCTGGCCCGCCCGCAGGTGCAAGGCATTCTAGATAAGACGGCCACGGGGGGCGTGGACTGGCGCAATTGCTGCGTCTACCGAATCACAGAGGAGGGGGGCGCTTCGGTGGAGCCAGAGGTGCGGTGCTGCGCACGCCTGGCTGGCTGGCGCCGGCGGCCCGGCACCCCACGCTTGTGGCCTGCCCAGCTCTGCGGGCGGCATGTGCTTGCCGTGCCTCGCCACACAGCCGCACCGCGACCACATGGGCCTCGCCACACCCCTGCCTGCCCGCAGCCGCCCTATCCTGTCAGTTGCACCGCCGCCTACTATGCGGCCCAGGTCAAGCAGGATGCCGTCATTGCCAACGATTACCCGCAGCAGTAAGCAGCCGGTGCCGCCTGCAGGCTGCGGGCTGGCGCTGCCGGCCTGGCCGGCTGCCCCCCCATGTGGCAGGCGCCTGTTGCTGGGTCACATCCTGCATGCTGGCCTCGGTCCTGCTATCCGCAGCAGCAGCCGGCTGGCCACTCAGCGGGCCGGGCAGGCAGCGGCGGCCCGCCTGCCGGCGCGGCCGCCGGCGCTGACGCATCCCGGCTTCTCCTGCCCCCGCCTGCCCCGCAGTGGCCCCCACTTTGCCGACTGGCGCGCGCTGTACGCCAGCGGCGCTCGCTCCATGGCCGCAGCCCCCATGTATGTGCAGCAGCGGGTGGTGGGCGTGCTGAACCTGGCCTCCCGGGACCCCCACGCTTTCGACAGGTGCGCGCCTGCCAGCCAGCTCTGGCGCCGGCGCTGGCGGGGCTGCCTGGCTCCCGGCTGGCCCGCGCATCCCCCCTGCCGCCCCCCCCACGCGCCTGCTCCACACCACACACGCACACAGTACATGCCCCGCCTCGCTCCCCGCCTCTCTCGCCCCACTCTGCCCGCCCCCCGCCGCCCGCCCCGCCGCCGCCGCCGCCCGCAGGTCTCGCCTGGTGTGGCTGCTGGCGCTGGTGCTGGCGCCCTTTGTGGCGGCACTGCGGTACACCACCCAGGCCCTGGAGATCGAGGCCTTTGTGCAGCGCATCATGCCGCCCCTCCTTGAGCAGAACTACCAGCGCAACACACTCCTCAAGTGCGCGGCCGGCGGCGGCGGCGGCGGCGGCGGCGGCGCCAAGGCCACCGCCAAGGCCGGCGCGCGGCAGGACAGGCCCGCGGCGGCGGCGGCCGACGGCGGCGGCGGCGCTGCTGCCGCGGCGGGCAGCGGCGCCAATGGCAAGGCAGCGGGCGGCGGTGAGGCCGCCGCCAAGCTGCCCACCGGCAGCGACCAGTTTGCTCAGAACGCAGAGGTGCTGATCACTGGGGGGGCGGGAGGCCGCGGGGACGCCGCCGGCGCCACCGACGCGCTGCCACCCGCCGCCGTGCCCGGCGCCGCGTCCGCCGCCGCGGCGGCGCCCGGCCCCGTGGATGTCTCTCCCGCCGCCCCCCCGCCTGCCCTCCCGCCACACGACAAGGCTCTGCTGCCGCGCAGCGGCAACGCCGCCGCCGCCAACGGCGGCTCGGCGCTGCCGCGCGGCAAGTCGGGGCGGGCGGGGCGGGGCGGCGCCGCCGGCAAGCACCCCGCCCCCGTGGTGGCCAACGGCTGGGCCGCCACCGCCGACGCGGCGAGCGGCGGCGCGGCTCTGGGTGAGCCCGGCAAGCCGGCGCAGCAGCTGGGCATTGGGCGCGCCAGCGACGCCTTTGACCCCGCCTCCTTGGACCCCTACCTCTCTGGATACGACTCAGGTGTGGGTGGGTGGGGGCCTGGCAACGAGGGCCGCGGGATGCGGGGCGGCGCGCGCCTGGTGGCCGGTGGTTGGCGGCGGCGGCGGGCGGCCAGGGCGGTCGCACCGCCGCCCATCCAGCCTGCCGCCCGCCCCTCTGCCCCTCGCCTCCTCCTGTGCATCCACCCTGTCGTGGCCCCTCCTGGCATGCATGCTCGCGCGCAATGCCCTCATCAGCTAGCTCCCAACCACCCCTCATCACGCCCCTCCACCCCCTCACACACAGCACACACACACACACACACACACACCACCACCACCCCCACACACGCCACCACCCCACCCCACCCCCGCAGACCTGGACTGGGGCGACTTCTTCTTCAACCTCATCTCCATGTGCATCGTGTACGCCTACTTCTCAGAGGCGGCGGTGGCGGGGGAGTCGCAGGCAGCCATCGTCGTCTCCATGTGCATCGCCGCCATCGACATCGTGCTGCTGGCGCTGCGCTGGCTGTGGTGAGCGGGGGGGCCTGGGGAGGGGAGGGGGCTGGGGGGACGGGCTGTGGGCGGGGGCGGGGGGGCTGGAGAAGAGGGGAGGGGCACTAGGGGAGTGCACAGGGTGGTTGCGCGGAGGGGGAGGGGGAGGGT